TGAACTTTGCCCGTTCCAGAGCTGTGATCAGTAACTGCCTATTGTGTAAGGTCTCCAGACTGGGTTCCTTGTTAGAGCCACCCGGCCTGATAAGACTCCAATCTCACAGATTCTGCAGTCGTTATCATTTTGCTGTATTTTATCATCTGTTTATCCATCCTTTTTCTTTGAAGGATTTCAAAGTGAGCTTTAGATGTGCTGCCCACTTTGGAGAAAAAACTATTTAACAGAGGAGATACATATACTTGTGATTGCAAGATGCTCAGATGCATGATTCAACCCTCTTGGTGGTCAGGGCGGTCAGGGAGGCGACTATGATGGCCTCCGCGTGTGAATTTACAACCAGGAAACCAGGACCCAGTGATGAGTAATTGTGAGGTCTGATCAGAACTTCGTGGAATGGGGTGTTGGCACAGTTCTCCAGTCTCTGCCAGCCTTCCCATGCACTGGCTGAGCCAGGCCCCTACCGTGTTTTCTGAGAGTCCCTGCTCAATTTCTGTGGCTGGTAGCAGGGGAGAGTTACTCTCTTTGTGCTGAGTAGCTGAATCTTCAGGAGTCTCCAAGATCAGACTGGAGCTGGATTCAATCCGGGCTGTACTTCAGCCGTGCGGTGACCTCAGGCACATCCCTAAACCTCTTTGAATCTTATCTGAAAACGAGGGTGGTTGTGCTAATACATCCCTTGCAGGTTTGTTGTGAGATCAAAGGAGAATGTGGAACACATACATGGGGTGATACTGTCAGCTGTGAGGTCACCAGTAGTTTAGTGACTGAATCTAATCAATGTTAGCTTCTGCCTACCTGACGCCCAAAGTTCACCTCCTTGACGCTGGCATTCAGGGATCCAGGCTCTTTCCCTCTGTGGCTCCCCATGCCCCAGGCAGAACCATTAACACAAGTACCCCCTGTAAATGCTACAAGTGTAGCAGCTTTTCAGGAACAGATGACTGATAGCAGGGGGAGCACATTTTGTGGGGTGCACTACTCTGAGGCAGTGCTCTGATGTGACATCAGTGGCTGGGAGTTAGGAGAGCAAGAGTCAGCCAGCCATGAAGCACCAGGTCAGAGGGAAACCTCCTTGTTCCCCAAGAAGAGTGAGAAGAGCTGGAGGGCTGGGGTGGTCAGATTGGGGCTCACAGGGCTGTGTATTAAGTCTGCTGGTGAAGTCTGGACCCTTTCCCCGAGGGTCCGGAGCACTGGCTCTGGGCCTGGACCAGGTGACTTGGCTCCCCAAAGATCTTCTTCCCCTCCATTAAGCCAGAGTTGCACCACGAGGGTGCGGAAGCTGAGTGCAGTGTCGTCTCTGCTTTACGATGAGGATTTTGTTTCCAAAGGGACAGTAAGTGAGATGCCAGCTATTCCACTCCGGCCCTTCATCTCAGGAGGACAATGGGAACGGCACCCCCCGTTTCTGAGTCCCTCTTATTTGCATGTTCGGGGAATCCATACTGATCAGTTCAAATTAGCAGATGAGATGAAACCTCTGTGCCCTCCAGCATCTAGATCGTGGCTTGGTTCACATCTACACTGTGGGCCAGAATGAGGTCTTGTGAGTGTTCAATAAATGACTGAAGTGGAATCCGTTAGGGACACCCCGACTAAGCAAAACTGGTTGGAGAGGCAGTGTTAAGGAAACACTGTTCTCACATATGTTGGAGTGGTAAGGAAGACTGCTCAAGACTCTTGCAGGGGGTGGCGAGCTGTCTCACTCGGAGTGAGAGAAATCAGGCTTGATTCTGAATGCAACAGAGACAATGGGGATTTATAGCCAAGGAGCAGATGGGGAGGCTGGTGGGTAGAACATCACTAAGTGGGGCGGGGGCGGGGAGAGTCTTACCAAATCCACCTCACAGCATTCTGACTGCAGGTAGGCCGGGCTAATAGATTTATTTATTGATACATACAGAACTGGAGTATAGGTCAGAGGTGTGAGAGGGTGAGATTCACCAGAGTGAATCCACTCTCAGAGTGGAAAGCAGAACAGGCAGATGGACTGAAATACACTGCTGGGGTGGGAGTGGTCAAGAGAGGTCTGCCATGCCGAGTGGGTCAGCTCCCTGGCCGGGGATCGAACTCATGATGCAGCGGCTGCGATAGCCTCAGAGTGCTGTGCTTTAACCTATTGCACCACCAGGGAGGGCTCAGAGTGTGAAGAATTTTACCTGATACTGAGAGTGAACCCCTAAGAGTGGGATTTTAAACTGACTAGGCAGGATTCTTGTTAAATCTGGACTCTGCAAGCATGGACAGAGAAGACCAAAGTGCAGTCAAGGAGAGAGTCTGTCAGTGGGAAGGCAGAGCCTACATCTCCAGCCTTTTCAACCTTCCCAGGTTTTGGGAATATGACAGCAAACTCAAGGCTTCCTGGGGCAGGTGGGACCAGACACTCTGTCCTTGAACCTGCAGGTGTCTTGCCTCACTCTGGGAACTCTGGGCCCTCAGGGGGGCCTCACACTCTCTCTGTGCACAGGGGTCGGAGACACAGCAGGGGAGATACAAAGCAGATGCTACTTTGGCCAGCACCACAGGGAGTAAGCCTGTGAGTGGCAGCAATGGGGACAGGAGCTTCTGGAACGGCGCCCAGCAAGCCGTATTCCAGAAGTGGTCTTCTGGCCTGGTTGATAAATCCCAGAGCTGCAATTAAGACATAATACTGTGAATATGACACCTTTTGACAGCTGCAGGAAGGCCCTGGAAACTTTTATTATGAATTAGATTTTGTGGGCAGCTCTGCAGGGAGCTGGTGCCTGGGTCATGGGGCCTGAGGGGACTCAGTGGGCTAGCCACTTCGAGAGCCAGGATTCCTGCCCACAGAGAGGCAGGAGACAGAGCCTCCATCCCTGGCCAGGACCCTTGCGAGGACCATTTTTGTCTGAGGAGTCTTAGGCTTGGTAGGAGCCAGAGTTGAAAAGGGCTTTGAGTTCTATCTGGTCTAATGATCCCATTTTACATTTGGGGAAACCAAGGACCAGAGGGTAAGTGACTTGTCCAGGGTCTCACAGAAAGTTACTGCCCATGCCAGGGCTGGACACCAGGCTGGCTGGCTTGGCTAAAGGATAATTACAAAAAAGTTAAGCCTTCATCCAGGTATTTGACTTAAAGAGATTCGATTGTTAGTGCTTGGAGAGATAGAGGGTGAGACGTTAGAGATAACGAGACAGAGAGACAGAGATAATGAGAATGAGACAGAGAAGAGAATAAGAGGAGAGAAGCAGACACATTCATGAACTGAAATCATCAGGTTCTAAACAGACACTCAAACACTTGCAGAGACAGAAAGAACACCAATTTGAAAGGAAACCTGCACCCCCATGTTTATTGCAACCCTATCTACAATAACTCAGATATGGAAGCAACCCAAATGCCCCAAAACAGATGCAGGCATCAAGAAGATGTGGTATATATACACAATGGAGTACTATTCAGCTGTCAAAGAAGATAAACTCATGTCATTTGCAGCAACATGGATGGAGCTGGAAGAGATCATGCTGAGCAAAATAAGTCAGAAGGGAAAAGGGAAAAATGAACTATCAGATGGAACACAGAAAACTTGAATAAAGGGTCAGGAAAAAGTGCAACATTTGCAGAGTTGCATGGGGCTCCAGATACAATCATTTAGTCTTGTCATCTTAATTTTTGCAATAATGAAACAAAGTACAGAGGGATATGCACAGTTAGTGTGTGTAAACCCTTTCAGGGGAAACAGTGCTAAATGGCTTTTAAAAATGAATGCACTTGGTACTAAAAGGAGCAAAATCCTCCACTTCCAAGAGTTTTTGAAATGAGATTCGAAAAATGAAGAGCTGCAGAAATAAGACCCAGCACAGGGGAATTTAGGAAAAGATGATGCAGAAGCTATTTCTGCCACTGTCTGGGATTCAGAACTGGGCACTCCAGGCCCTCCGTGCTGTTTTCTGAAAGAATCTGCACTTCTGAGAACAGCAGGCAACGTTGCAGAGCTTACCCCTGCCCTCTCTCATTCTTCCTAAATTGATACCAGCAAATCTTCTTTGCTTTCAACAGTTAGTATAAATGCCAACTCCAGGAAGCTTTCCAAGATTTCTCACTTGTACCCGGCCATCCACAACACACACACACACACACACACACACACACTGATTCATCATTTCCTCCTGTAAATCCCTCCAGACACCCCAACCCCACGTCAGTCAGAACTCCAGTACAAGTTTGCCTAAACCCCACATCCTAAGGACAGGAGCTGTGTCATCATGTCTTGCACACGCTGCTATCCCATGTGTATATCCGAATGAATGAAACCCTGAATGAATGACTACAGTAAGGGGCCCACTCTTAAAGGCTGGGGCTTAGTGTTCAGCAGCTCCATCCAGCCTTCCTCCTGTGTCTGCCTGCCATTTCTAGGGTTTGCTCTGTGGCTGCTTTTGTCCACTGTGGAGAGCTGTGTGGCAGGAGAGGCCAGGTGAGCCACAGAGCCTAAGACATTTACCATCTGGACCTTTCCAGAAAAAGTTTGCTGACTCCTGCTATAGTTTATGGTCTCTATGAAGCAGGCTAAAACCACAGTGCCTATTGTTAAGTGCGACAAACAGGAACAACCTTGTCTTTTAGCATCTAGAATGTTCTGCATGTGAGCACATGCCTGTGCCTTAGCTGGACTTGTGAAGCATCAGACAGATTTCTGTGTGCGTCTGGTATATACCACTTGGTCATCTTCTGAGCAGGCTTCATCTCACAGGGTTGTCTCCACTGGCTCTTTGGAAATATCTATCTAGATATAGACAGAGATATATATTTTATTAAGTTGGGCTTTGTGGGCTGCACCTTGGCACACACGTGGCAGGAACTGAGACCCCTGACAGCTGAGACCTTCGCTGACGCAGAGCAGCCAGACTCCCGGAGGACAATCGCAGTGGGGGTTGACTTTGAGGCTTGCCAGAACAGTATTGACAGGGCAGTTTTTGAGCCGAATGAAAAGCAGCAGCCTGTTGGACAGATTACACTCCATTTCCTCCCAGCTTGCAGGGAGACTCAGCTCTGCTGGCTCCCAACCGCACCTCGTCCCTTGGGCTGAAGGCTCCATTCCTCTCCCAGCCGCACTCAGTGCTGCTTCCTGAGAGCCCAGAGCGGAGCTGCTTACCCAGCCCTGCTCCCTGGAGCTCAGCACTGGCCTCCAGATGGACCCCTGGCATCTGAGGCAAAAGCAACTCTAAAGCCAGGATTGGCCGGCTCCCACCCCCCAGTGCCCAGCCAGCCGGCGCTAGGAACCTTGGGGGCGTGACGAAGCTCAGCCTGTCTCCAGCATGTGTTCCCGGGCCAGTCTGCCTTGGGCCCTGGCCACGATGACGGGCCCATCCCTCAGCCTCACTCACCTGCTCTCCATTTCAGGACTGCTCTGCTACTCAGTTTGCTGCTTGGGTGAGTTGATGTGTGTGTGTGTGTGTGTGTGTGCTGATTTGGAAAAATGACTCGGGAAGCAGACTTGCTCTGGGAGCGCTGAGCAGACTATAAACCTTAAACATCTTGGTCAATGTTGGGGTTGCAACATAAAGGGGGTTCACTGGTGGGATTGCTAGAGACCTGGGCAGACACGCTTAGGCGTGTGTGCACACGTGTTTTCCTCTCATGTGCCCTAGACTTGGGGGTGGCAGGCTGGCAGCTGCTGCATGCTGGCTTTGCAGTAACAGCATGTTCCGGGGTCTGGGCACCTCTGGCATTGGCTGGCTCTCCATCACCGTCCACATGGGCTAGCTGGGGCCATGCAGCTTGCCGCCCCGGGGGCAGCAGTCACCAAAGTGGCAAATGGTTCTTTGTAAGCTGTGTCCTCACCTGCCCCCTGTGCCGACTCAGAGGCAAATTGTGAATGCTTACCATGATCTTTCAGAGAAATATACATACCTTCAACACCTAGAACCAGGTTTTCAAAGCATGTGAGGTAGATGCTCCAGCCTGAAGGGACGTTTGTAGGATGCAGCCTTTCCTGGAATAGCTGAATCTGGGAGCACAAAACTTGAGGCCAGTTGCAGCCAGGCAATGTGAGCGTGTCACTGTGGCTGAGCCACCGGGGTGCTAAGTGATGCTGGGGGCCTCTCCGCTCCTGCTCTGCTGGTGCAGTTCCAGGGGGCAGAGGGAGGCAGAGGTGAGATTTGAACAGCCCACAACTGGCCTCCGGCAGCTGCATCCATAGTGGAGGGGACAGGCTGCAGTCACTTCCTGCCCTCATTTCCTTCTAATGACAGACTTGCTTGATAGGGGAGGGAGGCTCCTTGATGCAAAAGCAGGAGCCAGCCGCTCCTACCTTGCAGATGGGCCAGCCTGGGGAGAGGGAAATGCTGACTGGCCCCGTGGAGTATCTGGCATCAAATGCACAAAAGGACTTTGGAGGTGGCTGGGGTCAAACTAGTGGAACCTGTGAGGAAACTGAGTCTCAGATTGAAGGGATGAGACATGCAGTCACTTGCACACAGACCCAAACTCTGACCCAAGTCTCTGTATTCCCCAGAATGGGTTGGAGTGAACCCCTTTCCAATGATGTGCCTAAGATCAGTGGGGGTGTTGAGCCCAAGGGCAAAGCCAGCAGGAAGACAGCAAAACAAACAGTAACAACAAAAACCCTATAAACCTGAACAGTTGCCAAAAGCCTGATCTGTCCCCCTACTCCCACCATGTGTGGTGGTCCCCATGTCCAATGCAACTTTGGTGTCTTTTTTTTTTTTTTTAAGATTTATTTATTTGTGCATACAGAACTGGGGTACAGGCCAGAGGCTCAGGGGCGGCGAGAGGCGAGACAGAGCAGGGAGCAGAACAGGCAGATCGACAAAGTTCACTGCTGAGGGGAGCAGTGGGCGGGTCAGGAGAGGTCTGCCGCGCCATGTGGTCACCTCCGGGGCAGGCGGGAATCGAACTCATGTGGAAGTGGCTTTAACTTCTTAGTGCTGTGCTTTAACCCGCTGCGCCACCAGGGAGGGCCCAGCAACTTTGGTGTCTTTAAGCCGGGGCAAGCTGTCCTGAAATTCCCGATGGCTGCCTGAGGCCAAACACTCACATGCTAGGGCATTCAGTTGTTTCCATTACAGCAGAGCCTCCTGGGGTTATCCAGGCTGGACCACGGGCTCAGACACGACTCCCCCGGAGGCAGCAAGAGTCCTGAGACCCACAGGCCACGCAGATGACACCAAAATAGACATGCGAAGTCCAGGCTTAGTTGACTGGGAGGGAGGAGGGGAAAGCTGTTCCCCAACACATCCACCTGATGGAAATATCCTGAGCTGGAATGAGCTGTAAATAAACTTGACCATGCTAAAAACAAACATCTCCAGGGAGAGGGTGGGTGTCAAAATAGATGGTCTTCACCTGCTGAAGATGAAGTAGGTCACGGGGAGAGGCTCAGAGGGGCAGACCACGCAGATGGCCCAGCAGGAGAAGCAACCAATGATTTATGTCGACTGAAGAGTTCCCCAGTTTCGGAACACAAGAGCAATGGTGGCTTTAAACAACATGGGGTCTTTTGTCAGTAGAAGACCCTCCCCCCGGGCTTTGGGATGAGAACTGGAGTCCATATATGAACTGGAAAAATAAATGGCAAGGACTACAAATGATCCACGCCAGCCTCCCAGGTGCTGGAAGAAGCTCTAGGAAACATCAGCCTCAGACCTTAGGTGTCTGTGGACATAGAGAGGCCAGGGAGAAACTGTGTTGGTGTGTGTGGCCAGCTTTTATAACATACCCAGGGCCCAGGAGAAGCCTGGTTACTTCTTCTTCCAGTTCGAGGAAAGGAACTTGGAGAAGTGTGAAGAGGAATACTATTGGCATCAGTGTCAAGGTTTTTTTTTTTTTTAATATTTATTTATGTTTACAGAACTGGGGTACAGGCCAGAGGTGTAGGGGGGTGAGAGGATTCACCAGAGACAGAGTGGGGAGCAGAACAGGCAGATTGACAAAGTACGCTGCTGAGGGAAGCAGCGGGTGGGTCAGGAGAGGTCTGCCGCGCCATGTGGGTCACCTCCCTGGCCGGGGATCGAACTTGGACTGCAGTGGTTTTGAAGCGCTTCATAACATAGTGCTTTAACCTATTGTGCCACCAGGGAGAGCCCCAGTGTCATGTTTTACAACAACAGTGAGAGTATTTTGCCAAGAAGCAGCCCCTAACAGCTGGCGCTGCCAGGCTGAGTGGAGCATAAACAATTTTCCAGGCAATGTCAGACACGTCCACTCTCACCACAGGAACTCAGGACAAGGACAAGGTCACCTGGGCACCATGTCAGACACAGACAAAACTGACCATCATCAGTTACAGAAGTAACCCAAGATCCCTCTTTCCTTGCTGCTATCAGTGACCACCGCCTGTCACACCTTCAGCCTGGCTCGGGTTATTTCTTCTAGATAACTAGGATACTCAGCCGAAGAACAGCTCATGCTTCCTGATAGCATGAACAAAGGGCAAAGCCAGAATGCACTTCTTCACAGTCTCCCTAGCATCTTGAAAAAGCCCAAATCCTGGAACAAGCCTCTCCAACACATGCTTCCCAAATCCCCCACAGGCCCAGTGAGGCAAGGGGTGGATGGAGTACTCAGTTTAGGCACAAGTGTGCTCCTGTTGGCCTTTTGTTGGGGGTCAAGGACACTCTTATCTCAGGCCATAGTTATAGGAGCTTCCTGCTTAGCTCCTGACTTCTGTTTCCACCCGTGAACAGTCCTGATGTGGAGAACAAAAGGAAGGATGCTGGAACCAGACATGGGGTTCAGATCGTGGCTCTGTCACTTGCAATATGACCACCAGCAAATTGCTTCTCCTCTTTGTCTCAGTGAACTGATCTGTAAAATGGGAATGAGGAGAATAACAACAGTATTGCTTAACCCTCAAAGTTGCTATGAGAATTGGGTGAATATATAGGTGTGAAACATTTAAATGGTACCTGGTATGGGTGGGGAGTCTTGTCATTATTAACAGCATTTGTTAATATTATTCACTCAAAAAATATTAAAGGGATCTCTAGTGTATGTCAGGCAGTGTGCTAGACTATGGGTATTAAAAACTAGCTTCACCGTCTCAGAAAGCACAATTTAATCAAGGAGATACAAGGAAATAGTTTGTCCCCATAAATGAAAGCTAACATAGGGTGAAACTAGAAAAAAAAACAGGATCACTTAACTTTGGCCTGGGAAGTCAAGATGAGCTTCCTGGTGGAGGGGGTACCGACAGTTTTTTGAAAAATAAATAAGACTATCCAGGACTGAGGTGGATGTGGGAGGGCAGAGTGAGACAATGCCTAAGGATGCTGGCAGTCACTTAAGCTCCACAGGCCTTACCACCCACAGGTCAGGGGCACCATTCAGCCATCTTTCTGCTCCCCCTCCCCCGATCCCTCACAAGACCTGGCCCAATACCAGGCAAAGCACATACTCAAATGGGCAAATATCTAATTCTAAACTTGGGCAGTTTTCCCCACAAACTAAGGGGACTGCTCCATCTCATGCTCTGACCACTGTTGCCCAGGTCCCTGCAACATCAAAATCACCCTTGATTCTTCTTCCTCTTTTACAGTGACAGCACACTGTCCCCCCAGTTTCTTTCTCCCCAGTAATACTGGCTTCAGTCCCTTCCTTTCTGTCCTCACTGCTTCAGCCAGACCCTGACATGGCACCCAACTGTCCACCTGCTGCCCGTCCCCACGTCCTTCAGCTCACCATGCCCCACCCCTTCCCAGGCTCTTCCAGTAACTTCCTTTGCTAGCACCTTCTGTGGCTCTCTGCTACTTTTAAAGCTCAGCCTCCAAATTGCCCAATCTAGCTGCATACTAGCTTTTCAGTCCTCCCTAAATCCCTCCCCCAGTTCTTTAAGAAGCCTCCTTTCCTATTAGACCTTCCACCTTGAAACTTCCTGCTTCTGTGCTATATTTAACATACTTGGAGTGGCTGGCTGCTATTGCTCTCTGCCAGAGAAGCTTCTTCCAAAGTCTCGGTTAGGCATCTGCAGCAGCCCCGAGACCCTGCCACACGCTGGCCTAAGCCTGGGCAACCTCTACCAGACCATCCCGGCCAAAATAAATGTTGGAGGTCAAGAGTCAAGGCAAGCCAGCTCAGAGAAATAAATGCCCCTTGTAATGGCCCCGGGTTCCAAAAATATTATTCACAAAGGCAGGGGGCCTATGTCATATAGCAAATGGGAGGTACCCTCATATTTGACAGGCTAACGGGCTAGAACAGAAACCCGAAGTCTGGGGCGGCAGCTGGGCCTCCTTGAGTAGGGTGGGCATGAAGGAGGCCCTAATACCGACCCCCACTAACAAGCAAAGTCTTCTCTGAACAGCCCTGCCCGGCCTGGATCAGAAGAAGCGGGGCGGCCACAAAGCCTGCTGCCTGCTGGCGCCCCCTCCGCCCCCGCTGTTCCCGCCGCCCTTCTTCAGAGCTAGCCGAAGTCCGGTGAGTACGTGAGGAGAGAACAGTAACCCGGTGCCTCAGAACCCACCCCACAGCCCCATCAGCAACCGGTCTCTCCAAGTCTGCGCCCCTCAGAGTCTTTTCTGTGGGAGTCAACCCTCACTCTGACACAGCAGGCTGAGCCGCCATTTTGTACTTGCAGGCGTGTGTCCACTCAACAACTGTCTTAAAAAAGTGATGGAGGAAACTGGATTTAGCCAAATGTCCCATCTTCCTGAGAACAGTGAAGGGAGTTTATAGCTTTCTGAGCTCCCGTTAACTTCCCAGATGTGCAGCTTCCCCTTGTGTTTTCTTCTCCCCAAATCTTTCTGGAATTTTCTTCTACTGCTGGGATCTGAGGTTGACTCTCCAGGGTGGTGAGGAGGGTGTTCTGTGTGGTTGAGGTATGGGAGGGGACAGAACTGGGGAAGGCAGGAAAAGAACAGGATTTGGGGGGCTGACCTAGAAGACACCAGGTCAGGGCAGTGTGGGAATTGGGGTTCTCAGATCTTTCTGGAAACTCTTAGATGTATGCTGTTCGGTCTATGGTAGCCACTGGCCATAGGTGGCATGTTAATGTGGCTAGTTTGAGCTGAGAGGTGCTGTGTATATAAAACACACCTGAACTGTGAAGACTGAGATAACGAAAAGGATGCAAGTCATCTCCTTAGTAGGTTCTCTATTGAATATATGTTGAAATGTTACAATATTGAGTAAAATAAGATATTCATTCAAATTAATTTCACTTCTTTCCTTTTACCTTTTCAATGTGGCTACCAGAACATTTAAAACTACATATATAGTTTGTGTTGGTGGTTTGCTTTTTTATTTCTATTGACAATTCTGGTCTAGACACTGGGGGGAGAAAAGACCCCCCCCCTCCTCCCTGAAAAGAGTTTCCTAACTCCATCCAAAGTGGCAAGTTTATCTCTAACCCATTCAAGTCAAGAACAGAGGCAAGAACAGACCTTAGAATGTTGTCTTCTTGGGACATGATGGAGTCAGGGAACCCCTGATCTTGGCAGCTGGACTGTGGGGCAGGGTGGTGACACTCTCCTTTCCCCCAAGTCCAGTCTCTAACCTGGTATTGCCTGGCATTGAAGCTTCTCTCCCCAGACATGAAGAATCTCATCCTAGAACTCAAGGGCACACAGCCCTCATGCGTGCAAGGATCGCTCGGATCCCCTGGACCTCCTGGCCCTCAGGTTGGTGCCTTTCACCAGACTCTCTCCTGCTGAATTCTATCTGGAGCAGTGAAGCCCCCCGGGAAGTGTCTCGTAGTGTTATAGGGCACTTCAAATCTGAGAGAGGCACCCCTGAAGTCCCAAAACCTGCCTGCTCTAAGTGGGTTCTGCCATCCGCCGCAACAAGACAAAGCATATAAAGCTTTAGTGAAAAGTGACTTTAATACAATGAATATACAATATGAAACACAAAGAATGTAACTTCTAAATCAAACACCTCAAGTTACCCATCCCCTCGTGGGCAAAAGTCAACCCAAAAGGGATTGGCCCAAAGCAAGGCCTGAAAGCTGCCACAAGACTAAAGCACCTTCTGGCCGGGACCCATGGAAAAGGGTCAGAAATGGCCAGACAAATCTGAGAGGAAAAGAGCAAAATCAAAATCAATATAAACATTGCCATAGTCACCTCCCTACAGATATCTCACCCACATCTGCCTTAACCAGTCCAGGGTCAGGAAACAAGCCCAGTTTCTTCATCACATGTTTGCTGCTCCATGTGGCTTCCTTAGGTCTCCTTCTCCATCTGCCTCCTGCCTTCTGCCTTCCTTCTCTCTTCTTCTCTCTCCTTTTTCTCTGCTCAGTTCCACCCTCCTTCTGGGTGGGGCAGGGAACCTGGAACTTCCCTTCTCCTAGGGACCACCCAGTTACAGTAGGTCTCCCACTTACATAGAGTGGGTGCTTTTCCACCTCTAGCTCCCCTCCAGCTCCAAAGCCAAAAGCCCTGATTCTTTACCCCCTGAATTCTGACTTCTCTGTGCTGATTTTCTCATGTAGGCAGTGCTGTTTGGGATTTGGGTTGGGATTAAATGAGGTGCTGCATGGATGGGTCTGGTTTATTATTTATAGTTACCTTGTATATGACCGCTGACCCCATCAGTGGCCCTAACAGTATCTGCACTCAGTGCAGGAAAATGGAGGCACAGAGGAACCTGTTACTCTGAGCCCATCTGGTCCCCAAATAGTGCTACCAAGCAGCTTCCAACCTCTCCCATCAAAACTAAAGGCAAGAATGAGGGAAAGGCTGAGTGCTACCCAAAGAATTTTCTATGCAAAACTGTGTCTCACAGATTCGTGATGCCTCAGGCCTGCCCCGGGGAGAAGAGCCACCAAAGATAGCATCAAAGATAGCCCCTGGGTCTCTGGGCCTGCTGAGGGCAGGGAAGTAGCGCTTGAGGGATCACACCATCCCTCCTGGTGGCCCGCCCTGTGGCTTCCGACATGGGGAGACTAAGAGACAGTCTCCTTGCCCTGGTTCCAAACCCCCCAGGAGGGCACCCTGGCCAGTATCTCTATCATCTCGTACTCCTGACATCGCACTCAGCTCTGGTGCATTTCTTGGGTCCTCAAACTTCTTTGAGCCTCAGGGCCTTTGTGCTATGTTCCAGCTGTTTGGAATATTCTTCCTTCTTTTTTGTTTTTCTTTAAAGATTTCTTTATTTATGCATACAGAGCTGGGGTACATGCCAGAGTTGTGGGGGGGTGGGTGAGAGGATTCACCAGAGACAGAGTGAGGAGCAGAACAGGCAGATGGACGAAGTACACTGCTGAGGGGAGCAGCGGGCGTGTCAGGAGAGGTCTGCTGCGCCATATGGGTCACCTCCAGGCTGGGGATCGAACTGGTGCTGAAGCAGCTGTAGCTTCATAGTGCTGCACTTTAATCCCATGCACTACCGGGGAGGGCCCTGGAATAGTCTTCCTTCTGATTTCACCATGGCCAGCTCCTTTGTCACTAGCTCGCAGCTGACCTGCCACCTCCTTAGACATGCTTCACCCACCCACTCTGCACTCTCTCCTCCTGGTGCATGGACTGGTTTTAATTTACTGCATAATTTCCTCATTTCATTATAGTTTTCTTGCCTGTTTTTGTTATTGTTGCTGTTGTTCTTGGTCTCTTTCTCTCCATTCCTACCCCCTACAAAATATAGACTTTCTCGAGAGGTTGGCAAACTGTGGTCCATGGGTCAAATCTGGCAGCAGCTTGATTTTGTGATTAAGGTTTTGTTTCTGCTTTGCAAAGGTAGATGCGACCGTTGTGTGGAAGCACACTTATTGCAGATGTCACTAAAGAGGTGTACTGGCTGGTTCTTTACCGGAAAAGTCCCCCAACCCCTGGTCTGTAGGAACAGGCCATGGTCTGTTTTGTTCACATGGTGTACCCAGTCTGTTCCCCTGCAGGTGAAGTAGGCTCTCACAAAGATCTGTTAAACACATTAAAAAAAAAAAAAATCAAAACAGGACAATAGGTTAAAACACAGCACTGTGAAGCTATCACAGCCACTGCAGCACGCTCAGTCCAGGCCAGGGGGTGACCCACAGCTGACCTCTCCTGACCCGCCCGCTGCGGGGGGGCAGGGGGTTCTCCCTGTCCACCCCACCTCCCTTGCCTCTAGTCCTGCCTTGCTTTGATGTATATTCTTCACTTCTTATCTCCATTATGTAGGGTCCACCAGGGCTTCCGGGCAGGACAGGACCAAAGGGAGAAAAGGTATGATCCCCTCCTTGCTTTGTTCCCCCTCTCCTCGGTAATTCCAGTCTGTTTTCTGGGGGTGTCGCTGACAGCTTTCCGGTTGAGATTCCAGAGCATGTGCTCATTCTGCCTCAGCACATGTGGCTAAGTCCAGGATGACTGGGCTGCCCTGCAGGCGTGGGATCCCAAGGGTGCCTGTCCGCCCGGCAGGGCTGGCTGCTGTCAGTCGCCAGCAGCTATGCCGCAGGCTCATACCAGGTCTCAGCTGCTAAACCTTCTGCTTCCAGAACTTCTCTTCCAAAGCAGCCTCTGCTTACGACGTGTCTTCTCCATCCACAGGGGGAGCTTGGCAGACCCGGGAGGAAGGTACGGTCCATGCTGCTCAGTCAGCATTACACAGGCAGCTTTGATGCACATGCGTGTGAGTGTGTGTGCACCCCTGGGGTGGGCAGTGGTCACCTGTCCTCATGAGGATGATGGTGGCAATCCTGCTCTTCCTTGCCCCGCCCCTCCCCCTCCCCCCACCCCTCCCCTCCCCGCCTCCTGTAGCCAATAGCTGGAGCCCGCTTGTGCCAGGCTTTCGGACTCCTGCCAAAGGCTGTGTGCCTGGCCACATTTCCCCCAGCCTCAGACCATCTCTTTCTGCCACCCATCTGAGAAGCCCTTGAAGGCCCAACCAGCAGCACAAAATGACTCACAGTCTATCTGATTAAACTGGAATCAGGTGCCAGGACAGACAGAAACAAATGGCTTTTGCTTTCTGGTCCAGCCGAAATAAATGAGGGTTACCTAAGGTCACTGGCACGGGACGCTGAGTGATCCAAGCACGTGTTATCAAAGCTCTCATTGCGTCAGGATGGAGTAAACCAGAAGCCTTGCATGGTTGTCGGTGGCCTAAACTGCTAGTCTTGATGATAGAAGGCAGTGCAAGACTCTGGCCAAGAAAAATGCCTGTGTCTAAAAGCACAATGATTCTTTTCTGGTCAATTTTTTTCACGACCAACAAGAACCTCAGACAGGTCTTCATGAGGCAAAATCTCAATGCTTAGGGCACAGATGACTACTACGGTCCTGGGGTGGAGAGGATTTGGGGGGTCATGGACTGATGAGCAGGGTCCACGAGGATGTGGGAGCATAGTTGTTGTAGCTGGGTGACAGCACATTTTTTGTTTTGCTACGATGGATGTGAGCTACAGAAACCACAGGCCGTGAGCCCTCATTTGTGGTCTCTGGATACAGACTGGGCCATCTGTCTTTCGAGCTAGGCAAACCTTGGGTACAAGGTGCAGCAGTCTAGATAGCCCCCAGGTCCCTGGTCTCACTCTCTTTTGCAAGACTTGCTTTTCGATGGCCTCTGGCTTGGGCTAGGTCCCCTGGAAGCAGAAATGGGTGCCATGTGCCAGTTTTTGATAAGGGAGCACTCTCTAGAGGAGCGTGAGGGAGGGGGATGCCAGCCAGGGCAAGGGGTGAGCCCCGTGTGGGAAGGTATCAGGTAGCATCTGTTCAGCCTCAACCCTAGGGGAGCTCTGGAGTGTGATTATGCCAAAAGTTCTGAGGGCAGGGAGTTGGCTACCTGCTGCAGGCAGAGCAGGCACATAAAATGCCAGGCAGCCCCAACTGCCCGTGGGGGCAGACTGAGTTGCAGGTGGGCAGACAGTTGTGGCAATAGGGAGCTGGAGAATGGGCACATTGAGCTGGAAAGAGATCTGGAGGGCATCCTAATGGCATCTGCCACTGCTCCTATCCCTCGCCCCTGGGAAGAGCCTGTTGGAATGCCGAGGACATTTAGGTGGGTAGGTGAGGGCAGGTGATAGGTGTCAACAGACCAACTTTAGAATCCCTTCCTCCCCACCTTCTGTTCTTGAGTTGAATAAGACCTGTGCCTACAGCGTGACAAGGCTTTGACTTGTCCCTAAATGACCCAACTTCCCAGGCTGTCAGTCTCTGGAGAGTGGGGGTAGGGGTCTTAGAGCAGACTTAGAGACCCCAAACTCCCCTACCACTCCAGAGTCCAGTCTTAATTCCTGGAAGGAAAGAAGCCCAGTTGTCCTGACTTTTGTTCTCCATCTTTGCAGGGTAGACCTGGCCCCCCGGGTGTTCCTGGTATGCCTGGGCCCATTGGCTCACCCGGCACTGAAGGACCCAGGGTAAGTTGGTATACTCATGGGGTTCATGGGGTATCAGGACGTGAGGGGAGAAAGTGGTTGCTCCTTGATGCCTGGCACCTAGTAAATGCACTTCCGTAAGATGGAGAGGAAGATGACATGAGGACTGTCCAGGAATCCCCAAACAATTCCTCCTTCACCAGCATGGCAAGACCCCCATCAGTTCTACAGTTCTGTGCCATGGAAGGAGAAGTGGGGCTGCTCCCTTCTGTCACACGCACTGCGGTTTTCCTTTGTCCTGAAAGTTAGCATGTAGTTCTGATGGCCTCAGAGGGTCCTGTACTGGCTGGTCAGGCTGATGGGGCAGAGAATGGAGGGTTCAGGGAGTGGATGTTAGGAGCCAGCATGATTGAAATCTTGCATTCAGAGAGGGAGCAGCCATGCTGATGAAGTCCCCTTGTTCCCCTGGGGTGGCTAACATCCACACCCATGCCTTTGTTTACATTCTTCTCCTTGTCAGCACAGGCTGGGTGCAGGGGTGTGACTGGAAGTTTTCCTTGCATATGTAAATGAAGGGTGGGCAGGTGAATATCACTATCTGTTCTGGTTCCTTCAGACTATTTACACTGGGAATGGAAAGCTGTATTGCTCCTCCTGTTTGGAACAGTCATAAGGTCATTTCTTTTAAAAATCACCCATCAGAGCTCAGCTGTCCAATATGGCAGCCACAAGCCATGGGGCCATTGAGCTCTTGAGATGCATATAGTGTAACTGAGGAACAGAATTTCAAAATTCTAATCAAGTATGAATTTTAAAATCTTTACTCAATTCAGTTATTTGAAAACATTTCAGCAGGTTTAGAGCAACTTGAGTGTGGGCATCTATCTGCTTTTTCAACTATGAATTTTATAAAATCTAATAAGAATCAAATATCTTGGGTTACAAAATTATCATTTGATGTAAACATAAAAATATGTAACACAGTTCAAATACTTATAAAAAACTAAACTAATTAGTGATTTTTATATTTATATTAGATTGAATAAATTTGTTAAAATTAATTTCACTTGTTTGTTTTTAATATTTCTTCTTAAAATATTAAAATTAAAAATGTATGTAGTTCACTTTGTATTTCTGCTAGCTGGTACTCATACAGTTTTTAGTACAGAAAATGAGGCAAGATCCAAACCATTTCAAGGCCCAACAGAGCGCCCCCACCCCCAGCCTTGGTTCCTGCTGCAGGGCTGCACACAGGAAAGCTAATGCTACTCTACCTGCAGCAAACCTAGGTGAGACTGTGGGAGACATCTAGAAAGGTCCTCCCTATGCAAAAAGCAAAACAGACAAAGTTTTTTTTTTGGTCCTGTTTGCTGACTCCTTGTCCTCTGAGGACCACATAGCCCTTTGCACTCCCCCTCATCCTCTCGTCTTTCCCTCTAGGAAAAGACCAAGTATCAGTTCATGTACAATAACTAGTCAGCGTTTAATTTGGAAATCTGCTCTGCCCTGGACAATTTCATATTATAGTTCATCTCAAATGCCACCATGAAGTGTGGAATATGGACCCTGTGTCCCTAGGGTAGAGCAAGGGAGCTTTTGAAGATGTCAGTTCACCTCCATCTTGCCATGACCTTCCTGGGAATGTCACTGGAAGTCTTTTTTTTTTTTATTCTTCTAATGCAGGGTGAAAAAGGTGACCTGGGTATCATGGGCTTGCCAGGATCTAGAGGACCAATGGGCTCTAAGGTCAGTGTGGTGATCCAGATGGATGTCCCCAGATCTTTTCACTGGGAATCTGGAGTTCTGCAGCTCATGAAGATGGGGACTGGGTGGCGTTGCCATCCCAGGCTGGGGAATGGCACAGACATTGGACATCCCTTGGCAGAATGCTTGCCTTTCACCAGGCCTTGGGTAACATCATGCCCTGGGACAGAGAGGCATAGGGTTGCCATTCCTGCTGTTCTCCCGGGCAGTGAAAGTTAACCCTCTGTTTTCTGGACACCAGAGCCTACGGAAACCTTTTCTGCCCAAGGTCAGGGAGAGAGTAAGAAAAGCAATGCTCTTTTAGGCTGCATATAAATGCAGAGACACCTTTGTGTTTACTGCTGCAACCCCATGAAAGCTTGCAGCCAGGTGGGGACACCCCTGGCTAATAACAGCCAGAGATTCCCTCACTCTTGCCTCAAACTCTAAGGGCCAGCAGGTCTGATTACAAATGCACCTTCTGCTTTCTTTTAGGGTTACCCTGGATCCAGAGGGGAAAAGGTTAGTGCTTGTCTCTGATGGCTCCCCAGAGCCTGGTCTGGGGGGCAGCTCTGTCATTAGTCTGTGACTGCAGTGACCACCCTTAGACATTCCCCTGTCTTTTGTCAATGAGCACAAAGAGGCGAGAGGCTTGTAGAGGCAGGACAAGGGTCTGGGGAGGAGTCAAGGCCCTTCACATGGAGCAGCTAAGCAGTTGGACAGAGAGGGCGTCTGGTGTGGGGTACAGAAGGCAGATGCCGACATGGGTCTTTCCATGGAGCTCCCCTTTACAACCTTCACCTCTATAACAACAGCAAAACAAAGCCAAAAAACCTACATGGGGCCTGGGGACATTTTCTCTAGGCTGAGAGAGGATCTGGGACCCTCAGTTTTCTGGAAGTTGTCCTTTACTAATGCAAGTAATCTTGGGGTCCAAATAGAAAGCAAATGACAAAGCATTTCTTCCTGGGCATGCCACGAAGCTTTCCTAGGCTCTGAGCCTATTTCTGACCTGAAAATGATGGTGTTGGTTTGGGATACTTAGGCCTGAAATAGTCTTGGCTTGCTAGTGGTTGGTTTTAATTCCCTGCCTTTTTCCTGTGGTTTCCCCCTAGGGATCCAGAGGTGAAAGGGGTGACTTGGGGCCCAAAGGAGAAAAGGTAATGTCCATTCCATAGACATGGCAAACTAGAAGGGGAGTGGGCAGTCGCTGTCCACATCCCAGTGATCTGGCTGAGCAATGGGGTACCCATTGCGTGGAAGGTGACCAACGCCCTTCCCGGTTGTTCTGGAGATGGTCACCGTGTCTATTGCTCTCTCCACAGGGCTTCCCTGGAGTTCCTGGGATGTTGGGGCAGAAAGTGAGTACTAAGAAGGAGTCAAAGTGGTCCCAGTAAGAACTCAGTCCCCCACACACACAACAAAACGAGCCTCTGAGGGCTAGGGTCCCCAGGCAGGGAAAATGGGGTTTGCTGTGGAAGGTTCTGGTTTAGACAGGGAGTGAGTGGCCAGAAACATTGGTGAGAGGGTGGGCGGGTGGTTTGAAGCAAAGGACACCCCAGCTGGGTGGAGAGGGCCGAGTCATGTGCAAAAGTAGGATGCTTTAGGATGAGGGGGCTGCTGTGGGCCGTAGGTCAAGGGTCCCCAGGGCGAGTCACAGGCACCCTGGCCCAGTCCTGCCCCTGACTATGCTCAGGCAGCCTGTGCTCCCAGGCCACAGGTACTGCCTGGGCGACAGATTTGCTTTAGCTGGGTCACAGCAATCGTTCTTTATTTTGCTGGTTATATTTTTAAAATTTGAATAATTAAATATTTACAGGGATTTTATGGCTATCTTGCCTCAACAGGAGTCATTAGAAAGGATTTATCTCAGTTGATTTAAAGACACAATATTTAATCAACAGCATAGCTATGGCACAAATTGTGAGGGTGGCTATTGTATGGGAAACTTTTCCTCAGGGTTAGGGCTGGAGGAAGGAGGGTGGACGGGCTGGATAAAGGGGGGAGTTTTTTGTGCCAGAGGAAAGAGCGCATAAAGGGCTGCTTAGCCCAAGTCTTAACATCATCAAGGTGGTCACTTGTGCTCTCAGGCATTGTCTTGGGAAGTTATTTTAATCTCGGCCTCACAGCCCACTGGTCTTTAAACAAACAAATGGGTGCCTTCTCAGAATTCTAAATTTTCTTTTTCAAATTCTCTCTTACATTTGGGACTTGAATAACCCCAATTTATCTGACCCTCCCCAGTCAGGAGAACATATTTAAAATGTTTTAACCATCTAACATGAATTACTATAATAGATCCTTGCCTTAAGCTGCCAAAAATTCTGATCCTGCTCCCCCCCAGGGGGTGTGTTGGATGGAAAAATGAAGAGACTCATTATATGAGCTAATTAAAGGAAACATTCAAAAGAGGGACATTTTTGTTTTAAAATACTTAGGCTAGGTTTTCATTCAGTACAGCAGTGAACATCAAAGAATAATAAATTACTATAAAATTAAGTATGACAGCTTCCCTGGCCTCTGCCCCATTTATTAGACTTGCCATCTAGCATCCTCGTTCCTTTTCGTGACAGGCTGTCTTAAAACAGAGCTGACCTGATAAGCATAATCAAGTTTTAGGAGAGAAATTAGATCAAGGAATTATGGGCTGCTTCCAGTTGATGAAGAGAAGGGTCACACTTCTTTCTGACAATCTTTTGCCCAATAAAGAAATTCATGCTCTTCATACTACTGTTTTCTCCCAGCCAAACCAGACACCCTGTGCCCCTACTAAACAACCAAGAAAAATTGTGCATACGTATCATCACTGTGGCTGCATAAAACCATTTTTTACTTGAGCACTCTCACTGCCTCAGACGCTGAAAGACATACACTGTAAAGAAATAGAGGTCTAAGGACAATTCTAGAAGTTGGTGGCTTGGGTAGGGACAGATTCCATACATTGGTTGAGCCGTACAGATAATTTCAGTCTTAGGTTGATCCCGTGAATGTTGGTGTTCCCTGGAACTCTTTGACTCAAAGTGAAAACCCTCTGGTGGGTGTTTCTTGTGCTCTTTCAGGGGCTTGCCTGCTCTTCATGCACACTAGCTACTGACAACAATTCTCCCTGCTGCTGTTGCTTAATGTATCATGGTGGTACATGCTGAACTGTTGAGAGATGGATGGTGAAAGGAAGCAGCCCGAGGGTGCATGATCCAGAGAAACAGTCAGTGGGCCCAGACTCCTAGAACACAAGGAAGGAGGAAAGAAATGGAGTAGTGGATTTAGGACAGGTTGGCCTTTAACTATGGAATTCTGCAGTTGGTTCAGCGAGTTGAAAATCAGGTTTTCCAATGAGGAATGGCATTTCTTTCCTTGTCTTTTACAAGAATGATACTGTGTTCAAACATACTTCTGGAACCTCTTTTCCCCCAAAGGGTTTTTGTCTAACTAAAGGAAGTGTGCTGGATAGAAATCAATCTGATTTTTACTGACAAGTGGGAGAAATGTAAAACTGTAAGAAAAGGTGCTAAATGAGCAGTAACATCCTCAAAATGATAATTGTCACTATCATGTCTAGTTATACAAAACCCGTAGAATAGAATTGGTGCTAAAAACAAGAGAAGACACAACATGGCATTTCAACTAAGAGAGAAAACATTTTTTTCCAGTCCACTTGTGCAATAGCACATATGTGATAGAGGTCTCCGAGTCTCCCACTTTGGCTGTTCTGCACGGTGACCTGGGTCACCAAAACTTGCAATCCCCAGCAATTTGTCTCTCTGAGCTCGTACAATACCCACCAGGGGAACTTTGTCCCCTCCTTCCTCTTGCTTGAAAAGCCTATCTCCCTTTATAACTCCATCACTCTCCCCATCTCCCAAAGGAGCCTACTGGGGAAAACTTTGGAATGACCAAGGCCATTACCCCTGGGGGGTATGACTGGACAGCCCATGGAGTTGTGCCTGTTCCACATGCCCTGATTCCTCTCTTGCTTCTCTTCTTTCCAGGGTGAAATGGGTCCAAAAGGTGAGCCTGGGATAGCAGGTCACCGCGGACCCACAGGAAGACCAGGAAAACGAGGCAAGCAGGTGAGAATCCCAACACTGGCCATTGCCCTGTGGCCAGGCCCTCTCGATGGTGGGGGTGGGAGCTGTGGAGAGGCTGGGGGTGGGGTCACTCAGTGTCCTCTGTCTGGTGGAAGAAGCAGCAGCATTTCCAGGAGCCAGCAGCTCCTCCAGGTGAACCTTAGTTTAAGTCGCCTCATGTAGGGTCCCCCTACAAACTAAACGGAAGCAAGAGTGGATCGCTAAGTCCTGAGAATAGGCCCGGCTTAACCAAAAAAAGAAAAAAAAAAAATGGGAGCAGCAACCAAGTTTGGCTATTTATCCAGAAACCCTGCTTTCTGCCCTTCCCATGGGAGTGTTGGAGAAGAGCCGAGGTAATTCCCTGCTATTGAAGCGTCTTCAGAGTCTCAGCAATGAGGTGGTCTTTTCCCTCACTCAAGCCCCCAAGTTGTAAAAACACGTCCTTGGCATTATTCATGATAAGTTCCAACTCCCCCTGGCTAACAGGCTCTTGTGTAAAACCAGGTCATGAGACAGGAAGGAAGTAAGGAAAGGAACTTGCTGTGGCCAACTTTGCAGCTGAGCTAAGCAGCTCAGGGAACCCCCCCCCACCCCATGGATGGGCTGAGAGATGTGCCCTTCCACTTTTTCAGTTGTTAGTTTGGCTTTTCCCTTCCTTTCCAACTTTAAGTGTAGACATCATCTCGGAAAACTTGGAAATGTCTCAAAAGTAGGAGTGAGCAGTAACAGCCTCAGGTATAAACCCCCGCAAGGTACAATAGTAACAGCCTCAGGTATAAACCCCCGCCAGGTATAAACCATGTTCCCATTTGGATGTATCTTCTCCCCATGTTATTTCTTTTGTGAACGTTTTCAATGTTTGGGTGTTGTTTTCTTTTTTTAACCCAATGTGTTATTATTGTATCAGACATTTTTAACTAAAACCAAAATACACACATTTCTGCTTGTTACTGCAGACAGTCATGATGCATTTGTAAACATCCCTGAAAACGTCTGCATCCCAGTAGCCAGTGAGTCAGCAGTGTATTGCTTGAGTCAGAGAGGCCTGAGTTATATTTAACATGGGGAGGTGAATACTATTGGGCACAAGCTTTTTCATCATTATATTTCTTTCTTTCCTGGGCTAGATTGTGGTTTTCAAGCTTTAGCTGACATCAGCATCTCTTGGGGTGGGGTGGGGGGACTGCTTAAAAACAGGTTCCCTGCCCCAAGGCGGTGTTTGTGGCCCTAAATTGCCCCACCCACCCCTGCCCCAGTACCTGAGCTGAATTTCTGGGCACAGCTGTAGCTGAACTGGCAGGGGACTTCTGTGGGATTCTCAGGCGAAGCCAAGGTTCAGACTGTAGTAATGTTACAGGGCAACCCCGATATGAAATGGATTGGCCTGACTGTGGGTCCTCACCTGTGTGCTTAAAAAAGGGACTTCCAATAAGACTCAGCTGCAAGCACACACTAACAGCTTAACAAGGGGTTTATTTACAAAAGAAGGGGAAATGAAGAAATGGATAGCTCAGGGAGAAAGAGAGAGAGAAACTGGTAAATGTCCTACCCAATCCTCTGAGCTGGAGCCCCAGTAGAATGCTGAGAGCCAGCGAAAAGCCAACAGTCCCTCACATATCCTTTCATACACCAGTATACACCTGCTACTTAGCTGTACCCTCAGTTCCCAGCAATCCTAACTTTGGTAATGATGACATGGCATCTGTAATTCTTGGTGTCTTGGATCTTACTGGTCTGGAGTGAGGGGTGTGTTTGTGGAGTTCATCCAGGGCATCCTTTCTCCTCAACAGTAACACAGGAAGCCAACTCTAGTTTTATCATGTGAATTTAGGAATGACACAGGGGCAAGCTGGGTAATTCAGGTTCCACACTAGCTTTTAAAGTCACCATATTCCAACTCAGCTGGGAAAGTTTTCCGGTGAGCATGTCCATGGCTGCGTATCAATTCCTAAAATAGATGCTTTGAGAGAGAACAAAGGGAACAACTCTTTAAACAACTCACTCTCTCCCCAACTGCTGGTGTCTAAATTTCTTGTGCTAGAAGTTTCTAGAAGCCTGTTGACCTATTTCTTCCAGTTCTTTCCATGGGCAGTGTTTATTTTTCCTAGTCAGGGTGGAAGTCAAGAATTCCTCGAGAACCTTGAGAATGGTTCAGTTGAAGTAATCTTAAAACACACTAGAACTTTGGGGTTTCAGGGAAATAAGTTCATCCTTTCCATAGATGTCAGACAAGCCCTAGTATGTGCCACTGCCCAGTGCCTTTCTGTGCTTGAGTTGTTACCTGGGGAACCTGTCATGGTTGTGTATTCACTCCCATTTTGGGTTCATTGATTGGATCAACATATAATCGATATAAACATTCTGTTTTTCTCAAATGTGCAACAGGAAACTTGCAATGTGCAATTAGCAAACTTGCTAATTTTCTATACACTATGAAATGATCACCACAACCAGTCTGGTTAACCTCTGTCCCCACACATGATTTCAAATTATTTTTGCTTGTGATGGGGACTTTGATGATATACTCTATTAGCAATTTGTAAGTAGGCAGGCAGTGTTATTAACTATAGTCATACTGTACATTACATCTCCGGAACTTAAAGACTTTTAAACTGGAAGTTTGTACTTTTTGACCCTCTTCATGCATTTTGCCTGCCTCCTATGGTCCTTTCTTTTTATCACAAATTAATTTCCTAACATAGAATCTTATACATCAAGTGTTTGTTAAATCAGTGGTGCTAGGAATTTCTGGAGGTTATTGTAAGTCAGTCTGAATCCTGGAATCAGAAGTCCAGAGCGCCCTCAGGAAATTAGAATTTCAGAGCCAGAAGGATTGAGAGACCACCTCATTCAACTCCCTTCATTTAGTCCCAAGGAAACTTAGGACAAGGAAAGTTGACTGCCCAGGCCAGGACCCCTACTAAGCCAGTTTCCCAGCCAGGGTGAGAACTCAGAGGGTGGAGACCGCTTTTCCCCACACCTCACCTTCTCTGTCACCTTCTTGCTTCAGGATGGCCCAGGAAAGCAGCTTTTGACTCCATTGTAAAACCTATAGTTAAGGAAGCAGAACAACTTCCTTGGGAGGGATTGCCAAATGTGGTGGATCAAAGGATACTTTTCCTGGAAAGCATTGCTCCAAGACTCCTGCTCATGGAGATGTGGCTTGTTCTGAGCAGATGACTGGTAAACAGAAAGTTCCATTACTGCTGATGTCAAGAAGCGTTTTCAGCTCCTTGGCACTGTGGTACTTCCTGTGCTCACGGCCAGCTGACCCGGCTGTTAGAAAAACAAGCCTTAATGGTGGCTATATTAAGAGGGTGTGACTTCCTTGGCCATTCTGGGACCCATCTTAGTTACCTCATGGAAATGCTTCAGCTTGGGCAAAGGCTTAAGAACTCCCTCCGTTAAGACAGAATTGGAAACAGACCTCACAGGTCCCATGTTGAGTTTAAGAAGTCGTTGGGCATTGCCCAACGCCCTGTTGACAGAGCAGGTCACATGTGATTTCCATTGTGAGTGGAAAGGAGTTACTGCCTGCCCAGACTTGGGGAAGGTGACATTTCAGCAGGTGGGTACATCTGCCAAAGCAGACATATAGAAAAGGGGATCCAGGCCAGTGATGTCGGGCATCAGTAATGTCCAGGATTGGCCCTGGGCAAGAGCAGACAGCTAACAGAATGTTCCAAGGAAGAACCTTCAAACATAAATCGGCCTTGGTTTCTAGAGTCATTCCTAAGGGCAGCCCTGATGGAGAATGCTTCACTCTTGACCCTCCCAGAACAGGCAGCAAAAAGGACACACTTTTTTTTTTTAGGACACACTTTTAAGAAATTTTCTAAGAATGTGAAAACCAAGTCAATTGCTATGATAATCTACCTGCTCCATTGAATCTTTGGTTCTGTGCAAAACAGCTTTTCACTCATGAGATCTGCTAACTTAACAAACCTACTTAGATATATAGTTACTGTGCCCATTTTACAGATGAGAAAACTGAGACACAAGGAGTGGTTTGAGTTAGCAGGATCTCATGGCCAAGGTGAAAATCCAGATTTCTTGACTGTTCTGTTCAACAAAACTCTGTCCCCTTGATGTTCTCAGCTTCTTCCTCCTTCCCACTTTACTCTGGAAAGGGAGGTAGACAAGACAAATTCTAGCCCCATGGGGAGATTTGATGAAATGACCACACAAATCATTGTAGAGTTATGCTCTGAGATAAAAGAATGAGAAGAATTCTAAGAGTCAATGACCAAGAGAATTGACTCCGTATGGCAAGATCAGGGGAAGCTTTGCTATTTGAGTCAAGAGCTGAAGAGTAGGCAGAGGGGAGGGAAGTGGAGTTTAGGGCAGAGAGAAGAGTCTTGAGAAGAGAGATAAAAGGTATGTGCTCTTGAAGACCAAAAACACCAAAAGGCTGAAATGAGATTAGAAAGCCCAGCTAGAGAGGGCTTTATAGGCTGAAGTAAGGAGCTGGGTCTTTATCCTGAGAAAAACAGGAGGCCAGTGTGTAGAAAGAGCTCTTGGGATGAGTTGGAATGTTCCCGACATGCAGGTAGAAAGCCTGAGTTCTAGGCCCAACTCTGCAGCCTCGTTGCTAGTTGACCAGAAATCCCTGCTCTTGCTGAAGCTGTGCCCCCTCATCTGCTCAGCAAGAGTGGTGGGTGGGGTTTGCTCCTTTCAGCTGTCACAAACTTGCAGACATCACTATCTCGAATGTCACCTGCCCTGAGTTTTCGAAAATTGCTAATCAAGACCCCTGTCACTGTACCTTGTCCTGGGCTCTTGCTCCAAAGTGCAAGGTGGTCTCTGATTTGCAGATAAGTGGGGAAGGAATTTTGCTTTGTCATATTCTCATAACAGACTCTGTGTTTCTTTCTGTTAGGGACAGAAGGGAGATAATGGAGTTATGGGCCCACCAGGCAAGCCTGGGCCTTCTGGTCAACCTGGCCGACCTGGTCCTCCAGGTCCCCCAGGCACCCCATCAGCAGGTAAGAACAACACTGTTTCACTGGGCCTAGCAATTTTCACTCCTGGCCAGCCTCCCCAGAGAGGGCTAATGAGATGCCAGTGTTTTAAGTTAAAAACTGCCAGAGACACTTCAATATATTTATAATTTCCCATAATTGAGCTCATTCATTCAACTTTTACACAAGAGAGATAAATACCCATCTGGCTTTGTTGGGGCATTTGGGGAACAAATAGAAAACGGAAGAAAGATTACACTGGTGACACATCTATATGCTAAGTGAAAAATAACAGGCAACTTTATCAGTTTACACCTTTTTTTCCTAGAAAAACATTTAGGTTTCCAAGCTGTTCTCTGAAACCTAGAAGTAAAGACAAAATTGTGTGTTTCTTATTTCTCTCTTGCACAGTGTTATGAGAGAATCCTTATTGACCTGCATCAAATATAGAAAGAAATCACTAAACAAAAATTGAAGAGGTCACTGATAGAATGTTACCTTATTTTACCTTGTCTAACTTGATGATCTTAACTCTGTAACTTGTGCCTTTTCAGCCCAGAGTAAGGTCTGTCAAAACACACCATCTCTCTAAACAGCTTCTCTAGGTCCAAAAAGACTGTCTGCTGACTGCACAAGAGTCTTTGTCCTGAGTTACACAGAAGGAATCAAAACATTTTCTATTCCAACTTTTAAAGAAATTAAAATTCTACAGTGTAATTTCTCTGCTCTGAGTTTATGGGAATAGATTTGCAACTACATCATAAGGTAATCAAGAAATGTCTCATCTTATTAGAGCCTTTAAACCAAATTAAAGCTGGCTCTGAGACGCCACCTTTCAGGATGCCTGGAAAATTGAATCTCATGCATTGTTGGGGGTTCTCTTCACTCCTCCAACAGCCTCAGAAACATTGGGCAAGGATCCTGGGGGATTATGACAGAAAAACATCAGGGAGTCACCTTCAGTCTTTGACCCACCCCTGAAATATATACTGTTCAAGGCCATGTGGTCTGTGTGGTGCTTGGTGGCTGAAGCTCTGGCCCATGCTGGGTAGCAAATCATTTCCCCTCCACTTTTTGTGGATGTGTTTCATCTTCCTTCTAGATGGCAAGTTCTCACAGCAGGGGCTATGGCCCAGTCAGTTCTGCATCCTGCAGGCCCCTGGCAGGAGGGCTGGAGGGGCCTGGCTAACCCTCCCCCCACCCAAGGTGTTCTCAGGTGGGCTACATGGCTGTCAGGGGCCTATGGGCCTTCTTTGACCCGTCCCCAACTTGGCCCCCCTTAAGTCACTTTCTTTTTGAGTGACTGGGCTGAAGCCACTCAGAGTGAATGGGCTGAAGAAAATGGGGCAATTATCTTGTTTTTTGGAAGGGTTTTTTGGAGACTGGAAAGAGAAGAGTTTGGAAGAGGTCTCTGTGTCTGGGACTTTGGATAATCGTCAAGAGTTGGAACAGGCCCCCAAAGTGAAACCTGAGACTACTTTTTAGAGTCCGATAAAAGCCCCAAACCCACTCTCAGGGGAAAAGCATGTCTAATACACCGAAGATTCTGCATGCTTCTTCCCGGAGTTCCAGAAACTCCAGCCCAATTCCCCCTGAGCTAGAGCCTGAGGTTCTGAGGAATACAGCTTTCTTCCCTTGCCCTGCTCTGCTCTGCTCCATCCCTCCCCTGCCAGAGGAGAGCCTTGAGGCCCAGGGAGGTGTCTTCTCCAAGGTCACAGAGATGCTGACAGGTAGGTAGCCCTGCCAGGCGAGAATCTGGTCTGGGATGAGGCTGTGACTCCTTGTCCTGAGACCTTCCCTGGCCGTGCAGTCTGGCAGTGGGAGGATTGTTTGGTGGTTCCTCTGCCTTTCCCCAGATTCCACTCTCAGACCCACTTCCAGCCAGGAGCCCATGAGATGGGGATCATCCGTGGAGAGCAGGTCCTCTGGCTATGGGGGATGCTGGAGAGGTCAGGCCCCTATGAAGACTGAAGCGGGGCAAGTTCCAGCTGCTATGCCCAGCAGTACAGCATGGCAGGGAACAGGCAGGGATAGCGGGTGGCCTCCGGCTGCTGGGAGGAAACAGCAGGAAAACTGCAGGGGTGGCAGGAAGGAAGCAAGACCCCTGCCACATCCTGTCTGGAGGCTGCCTGTGGCTCTGATGCCCAGCGTTGTGAGGCAGGAAGGTCCTGGGGAGTTAGAGCAGGTGGGAGATTTTCATTACCCAAATTACAGAGAAAGAGGGACTGGGGAATGGAGTCAGGAATAAAGGTAAAATGTTTTTAGGATGTAGTTTGCAATAACTGAGTTCTTCCTGCTCCCAAACAGGGTCTAAGTGAATCAATGTGGCTGGGAATTTCCAGCTTCCTGCAAGTATCCATAGGTTTAGATGCTTGTCTTTTGAGCAGTGTAGTGTTAAATCAAACATGAATTCAAGCCTCAGCCTCACCATGAATTAGCTGGATGATGGGACAGATGCCTGAATCTCTCGGCTGTCATAGAAAGTGCTGGAAAATTTCTCCAACGCCACTCTCACGTCTTTTCTTAGAACACCCCCACCTCCATTTCCCAAGGTGCTTAATTATCCAGAACATTCCTGGAGTCTGTCTCTCCAGGCTTTCCTGAGACCACGGGAACACATGAGGCCCTGGTCATTCCCTTATGTCGGCTTCTCTTCCCATCCATTTACCTCATGGTTACAATATGACAGTGGCAGCGCCAGACATCACACCTGAGTTCTCAGACATCTACCCTTCTCCCAATGCAGACCTCATGTTGGCTAGCACCATGGCACCTGGTCATCTCTAGGTGCAAGGATTCTGGGAAGACAAAGCTTTATTTGTTTAGAACCAAAAGTATAGAAAGTTATTGGCGGAGAAAGAAGGGCTGGGAAAGGTGCGGCCGCACCCGGTGAAGTAAAGGAACCACGTTGACCATCACCTCATCCACGTCTTGGGTCAAGAGCATGTCTCTGGGCCTCTTCCCATGCTGATGCTGGGGCACTGGGCTCCAACAGCTTTTCTGTTGTGAAGGCAACTCTCACTTCCGGGTTCTCTGCTTCTCTCTTCCTGGCTTTAGTAACACAGCGATCTGTTGCCTCCTAGGACAACTTGTCATGGGACCCAAAGGGGAAAGAGGATTTCCTGGGCCTCCTGGAAGATGTCTTTGTGGGAATCCCTTGAATGTGAATAACCCTTCCCAAGGGGAGTCCATGTATGGGCCCAGCTCCCCCAGAGTTCCTGTGGTAAGTCTCTTGTGGGTGAAATCTGGGGTCGTTCTCAGGCAGGACCTCTTACCCTTTGTAAGATTTGGGGCTTGGTAAAAGTATTTTCTCTGCATTTTACTGAGTATACACTCACTGTGGAAAGAGGCAAACATGGTGAAGTCAAAAGAAGAAAACCAACTTGTCCATTGGTTGTGGGTCCATTGAGAGTTTTCTTTGTCTTCTTGAGGAAAAAATGTATATGGTTGAGCTGATAAAGTATAAAGATGTTGTACTCCAGTTGATGCATTTGGAATTCTAACATGTTTCTACATTCTATAAATATTTTAATCTTTAAATTTTATTTGCAAATGCAAAGCAAACAAGTACCCTTGTACACAGTAGCTCCAGGTAGGTACCCTTCTCCCCAATTCAACAACGATCAATTCATGGCTCATCTTGCCTCCTCTTTATGTCTCTCACCACTGCCCACCTCCCTGGGCAGCACTGGATCTGTCGACATAAACCCTGGACGTCAATACATCATAAGCATCATTTGAGAGAATATACAATCATTCATCCATAGTGTGGCTGTGCTGGGCTTTATGTAGCCTTACGACTGGATATTTAAGAGTCTGAGAATTTTGCTAAGAATCATCTCCAGATGCTGAATTACTCTGAAGTAGATGATACCAACTTTTCATTGAAGTCTTGGGAACTTTTTAAAATGTTTAAAACTTTTAAATGGTGGTGGATTTTTTTTTTTCAAATGAGACACTAAGAACTAGATTTAGAAGGTGGCACTATCAAGAAATTCCTGCCCACTTCAGGAGGCATGCAAGGCAGAGAAGCGAAACCCCCTTCCCGAGATCAACCAGCCCCAAAATAGAGACTCTCTTTCCTTCTCCAGCTGCCCCCCTATAGAAATATTTTCTGGAATCCTCACCACTGTGTTGTCTGGCAGATTTTTGTGGTCAACAACCAGGAGGAGCTTGAGAGGCTGAACACTCAAAATGCCATTGCCTTCCGCCGAGACCAGAGATCTCTGTACTTCAAAGACAGCCTCGGCTGGCTCCCCATCCAGGTACAGCCCCCACCCCAACACACACATACATTGTACACAGGAGAGGGATGTATTATTTTTATTTATTTATGCATACAAGAACTGGGGTGTAGGCCAGAGGTTGGCAGCAGGGGTGAGGGGTGGGCAGGTTGAGAGGATTCACCAGAGACAGAGATGGGAGCAGAACAGGTAAATTGACTGAAATATACTGTTGAGGGGAGCAGCCAATGAGACAGAAGTCTGCTGTGCCTTGTAGGTCACCTCCCTGTCTGGGCATCGAACTTGAGCTGCAGTTTCTGGTGCTATCTTGATAGCACTGATATTAACCCTTGTGCCACCAGCGAGACCCAAGAGGGACATTATTAAAGGGAGGGAAGGCCAGCAGTTGGGAGCAGAGATCTCTGCAAGCTGCCTCCAAGGAAGGGCATCCTCCCTCTCCCTGTTTCTGAGCAGCTCTCCACGTCCCTGTCACCTTCCCGACTGGCCCAGCCTTCAGGCCAACAGCAGAGCTCTGGGTGACAGGAAAGGGTGGAGTGCTTCCCCCTCAGGGGACGCCAAGGGCCAGTGCCCCGTCTCCAGGGGCAACGACCCTCATACCATCCCTGGTAACCGCTGTGTTTCTTTGGCCAGCTGACCCCTTTCTACCCCGTGGACTACACTGTAGATGGCCGCTTCGGCACCTGTGGGGACGGGGTCCTGCAGCCCGGGGAGGAGTGTGACGACGGGAATAATGATGCTGGTGACGACTGCATCAGTGAGTGTGTCCGGCCAGAGGGGCCTGGGATGTGGGCTGTCATCAAGGTGGACAGGTTCAGAATCACTTGGGGTGTACGTGGCCGCAGGTGGGCTTGGCCTCCCCATTCACAGGTCAAGTTTGCCACACCCAGCCTGTCGTGGGGGGTTGGTGTCCAGGGTCTCGTCCCGAAGGGCAGCCACTGGGTCTCCTTTAGTCTGATTCCTACTTCTTAGCAACACCCCACCCCCCAACCCCCAAATCAAAAGATAAAGGTGACACAGGACTGAGGGGTCAAAGGGACAGGGTAAGAAATGGAATGAGGACCCCCCCCCCATTTACCCACTGGAGGCTTAGCAGCAAAGCCTTTTGGGGGGTGAGGGCTGGTTCGGGGTGCCTTCAGGCCTATGGGGTGCCACCAAGATGGACCAGCAGCAGCGTGCTGGGGTTCTGCTTGCTTGTTTTGTTTTTTGTTTGTTTTTAATCAAATGACAAGCAGGAGTGAGGTGGAAAGCACTGACGGGCTTTAGAATTAGAAAGGTCAGAGTTCAAATCCTCTGAGAGCCCCCCCACTGACTCTCAGCTCAGAGGGAGGCTGCTCAATGAGGGGACCTTGGAGGTTAGTTGATGGCTCCCAGTCTCACTTTCCTCACCTCAAAAGTGAATTCACAGTCCTGCCCCCTCAAGAACTTAGGATTCTGTGAGCTAACCAATGGTGGATCGTCGGGAAATTCAACATGGTTCAACATCCCTTCACTGAATTCACTCAGGACTCGGTTTTTTTAAATCCCTCCAAAGAGCAGCCAGCCCTGGGCTGGGCTGGGGATGTGTAGGTAGAAAGTGTGGTGATGACCAGAAACTCCAGGGTGTGTCCAGGTGTGGGGGAGGGGACGGAGGCTGCTGGTCCTCCAGGGTAGCTGAGCTTGCCCATAACAATCCCCAGGAGGGCGAACCCAGGCTGCTGGCTTCAGCCCCTGGTGCAGCCCTGTCAGACAGGAGACCCACAGCAAGAAGGAGCTGTGAAATGGGTGGGCCTCAGACTCCAAGAGCTTCCCCTCCTGTGAGAACAGAGGCCCTGATGAAGACAATATGGTTCCCCAGGGAACCTCATCATCTCTCACTGGAAGTTCATCACCTCCTAGGCTTCCCCCCACAAGACCCCTCATGGTCCTGTGAGGAAAAGGCAGGGTCCATGCCCCAGGTTTGGGATGAGGACACTGAGGCTTAACGAGGAAGTGAGGCAAGAGGCCAGTGACCTGCTGTCCATCTGTCATGTAACCAACCAGCAGTGGGACTGGGCTGCAGCACTGGGTTCCCTGTTTTCTGCTGTGGGATGTGGGGTCTGAGGAAGCCCCTGATGCTTCAGAGCTTTGTGGACTTGTGCCCTCAGATCTCTAAAGCTACATAGTCCTGACAGGCCAAGGCAAGCCTGTCCCACACGTACCTCAGAGCTGACTCTGTGTCCCTCAGGTTGTCACCAGGCCTACTGTGGAGACGGCCACCGGCAAAAGGGCGTGGAGGACTGTGACGGCTCCGACTTTGGCCAGTTGACGTGTGAGACCTATCTCCCTGGGTAAGGATCTTCTCAGTGTCTCCCTCTTTCTTCCTTCAGTGATTTTTTTTTTAAAGATTTATTTATGCATATAGAACTGGGGTACAGGCCAGAGGTGCAGGGGTGGTAAGAGGATTCACCAGAGGCAGAGTGAGGAGCAGAACAGGCAGACCGTCGAAGTACACTGCTGAGGGGAGCAGCGGGCGGGTCAGGAGAGGTCTGCCGCGCCTTGTGGGTCACTTCTGGGGCAGGTGGGGATCGAACTCATACAGAAGTGGCTTTAGCTTCTTAGTGCTGTGCTTTAACCCACTAAGCCACCAGTGAGGGCCCCCTTCAGTGACTTTTGAGTGACTTTTTTATTCTTGGTATTTTCTATACATCGAGGTGTATTGACAAATTACACAATACAGGGTCCTTGTCTACTGGTGGTGAGGGGGAGACATACAATAAGCACATCAAACATCACCACCTGTTCCCTGTCCCCAGCTGCCTGTGTGTCCACTGGAAGCTGCCACTGCCCACTGGAAGAGACGAGCAGGCTCTAGGCTGGGGTGTTGCCTCTGTGACCCCCAACCCTAGAACCCCTCATTCTTCTGGGTGTGAGTGTGGGTGTGGGAGGATGGAAGGGTCAGGGCTTTTCAAGGAATGTAAGCATCTGTGTGAATTCTCTGGAATAGTCCTCCAAGAGGTGAGTGAAAGTGAGGTCATGCTATCATTCTTACCTAATTCTGCTGGCTGCTGGCCTTTGTGAGGAAATCCCAGGAACTTAGGGTTCCACTGTTAATTCTTTCAGAGACTGCTTGGGGGGAGCTCATGTCACACAGAATGAGTGTGCTAGTGTCCTGGCCTCTGCCTGGACATCCCTGAGCCCTGGGAGGCCAGGAAACCCTGAGGTACTGATTCCAGGCCAGAATGTCTCCTAGGCCAAAAATGGCTCAAATCCTAACCTGTGTCCTCACAGAACCAGTTGTACAGCATTTAGGGGAAAAGGAAAGGCCATTCCTCCCCCGAGTCCATGTCCTGCTCCCCTGGCTCCAGAGGGGTCTCTGGCACTTCACTTCTCCCAGGGCCTCGGGAATCAGTCTCGTCAACATTTGCCTCCAGCCCTGTTCCTCTGGAAAGCTGGGACCCAGGTCCTGGGCCTGTCCTGTGTCTCCCTCTCAGCTGTCCTTTCCAAAGGCGGTCGTTCTCCTCAACCTCCTATAGGTCTGTGATTTCCCCAGCACTCAGCCTGATAGATCCAACCAGGCCCCCATTGCATCTGCCTATCTGTGCAGCCTCCCCCCCCCCCAAGAAGGGGGAGGAAGGTCTAGCTGGTTGGTGGTATGTTGGAGACAACTGGGTGTAGACAGTCAGACATGGAGTACAGAACTGAGTAGAGCCCAAAGCTTCCTCGCTGGCTCACTGGAGTTGTTCTCACCCCTAGAAGCCTTGGGAGATGCTGCAAAGAATGGTTACGCCTGTCTCAGGATTAGCCTGGGGGTTACAGAGTTGTGGGCTTTACTGTCCAACTGCCAACAGTCACATGTGGCTATTTAATTGAAATTAAACAAAATTTAAGCTTTAGTTTTTCAGTCACATTAGCTATGGGTTCAGAACTCAGGAGTTGCATTTGGCTAGTGGCTGCCACACTGAGTTTCACAAAAACAGAATATTTGCCTTGTCAGGGACCTTTTCATGAAAAGTGCTGGAAGCCTGTTAGGCCTTGAGAATGGGGTGACGCTCTCGTAGATGCAGTATTAAGAGCACCCACCTCCATGATGGCACATGGGTGAATTGGTCATAGGAAGCCCATGGAGATTACAACAGAAATGAAAAAATGCACACAATGAAGAATGATGTAAAAAAATAAAAAATATAATTAAAAAAAAAAAGAGCTATCACCTCCTTCTGCTAAAGCCTCCAGCAGGGTCTCAAGGGGAAAAAAAATCCCGGAGGTCTGAACACAGCTCCCTCCACCCTGATCCCAAACGAGAACGGGGCCGTTTTTGTAGCACCCTGCTGCTGTTTGATGAGGTTTGACCACAAATCACTGGAGATGCCCATGGGGGGGTCATCGACTGCCCAGTACCCTGCCTCTCCCTCACCCCGGCTGCCGTCTGTCTCCCTCAGGTCCTATGGAGACCTGCAGTGCACTCCGTACTGCTACATCGACTCCACACCCTGCCGCTACTTCACGTGAGGGTTCCTGGAGGAGGTGGCTGCACCCAGTGAGACCGGCAGCAGCTTCTCCACTCTCGTCACACTGACCTCGAGCTGTCCTGGTCCAGTTTCCGCCACCTTCGTGGGACAAGAACAAGGACAGCCTCCTGCTGCTAAGATGCACTTTGACCTCAGCCTGACCAGAACAACTCAGGACCCTGCCTCCTGTCGCAGGCCCAGCTGGGAAGTGCGCCCGTCACCACCTTCTGTCTGGGGGCACCCTCCGTGGCCCTTCTCTCAGGAGGGGTCCAGCAGGTCATAGACCTGACTTAGCACCTTAGACACATACACCCGTGTCTGAGTTTGTTCTCGTCCCATTTGGGGCGTCTGCACGCCTATGACCTCCAGAAACTCAGGCGTTCTTGCCCAGGGCACCGGCTGTCACGTCTCTGGAGGCCTGTAAACCATGAAGACTGGAAGTGGGCCTATTCTCTCCTGGAGGCTCCCATCTCTGGACCCCTCTAGGGAGCTGTCAGTGGGTCAGGAGGAGCCCCAACTGTGAAGAGAACTGAGGATCCCTCTCTCCCCCACCAGCCTCTGCTCTACCCTGAACAGAAGTGGAGGCTCAGCAGGGTGCTCACCCCAAAGACTAGCCGAACAGTGGCCTTCACTTCTCAACCTCTCCCAAAGGGGCAGCTCTTCTCCAACACCACCTTGACCTGAGGGCTCGCTGCACTTTGACCTCTGCCACACGATGTCCCTCATGTCCATTTCTGGCTTAGGAGATTCGCTGGCAGAGTGTGACCTGGCATCTAGGCCTGGCCGGCTATGGGTGGTTCTTCAGTCCTTAGGAAAACCCTGCCCTGTTTTCCCGTCAAGAGCCCCGCTCCTGGGTGGGCGTTCTCGGCTGAGACCTCTGTGCTGAGTGCCAGAGCTGGCCACCTGGGACTGCCTGTGTCTCTGCATCACATAGCCTGTCCTCATATCTGCGTGCCAGGCCTGACATTTCCCCAGGAACATTCACCCTATTTGTCTGGGTGCTTCCTTCAGCACCTCACCTGAGTGGGTATAGTAGCTCTGTTCTGGAAAGAGGTCTCCCCTGTGGCGCACCTCATTTGTTGACAGATGGACGGACACTCCTGGGCCTTGTACACAGCTGTTATGTGAACCTCAGTCGTGGGGACTCGTGGGCAGGGGCTTGTGGTCTAAGGCGGTGTTCCCAAGAGGTGAGTGCATGGGTCAGCCTGACTCCCTCAGCCTTGCGGCCCTGTAAAGCCACCACTTCAGACTGGGGTCTGCAAATGGGAAATAAGGAAATAAAAGCAGTTTATTTCCCCACAGTGGTTCTCTTTTTCCTGGGGACTTGCAGCCAGCGCCCCCACATTGCCTGATAGACTGAAGTCTGGTTTCCAGATTATGCAGAGGATTCTAGCGTGTGAAGCAGCCCCATTCCCTCAAGGTCAAGGAAGGAAACTGAGCTCCAGCAATGTGGAGGGACTTGCCAGAGGGTCATACAGATGCAACCTCTTCCCACCATCAGCTGGCTTAGGACTTAGTTAAGATGGGGTGGGGAGCCAGGCCTGTGCTTGGCCCTGGTCATGAAGGGCCCTGTCTTGGGTCTCTTGCCTGGGAGGCTCTATCTGGCCCTTCTCTGGCTGTGAGCCGCCTTCAGAGGGTGCTGGGTATGGAACCCGAGGTTTCTACGTGGGACACTGAGCCGCCTCTTGGGGGTAGGACTGGGGACTGGAACCCCATCTCCTTGTGCTGCCATCTGCTGGCATGAACTTTGAAGAATCTAAAATTGCCAAATCAAACCTGGTCTTCTAGGACTTGATGAGAAAGTCAGGTGAGCAGAGAACATATTGAGTAATAATTTGATTATAACCAACTTAGACATTTGTATATGAGCCTCCATCTTTGCTCGTCTTCTATCCCAGTGATATTCGAGAAGGGCCTGTCTCCAGCTCTTTCAAGGGAGAGTTCTCAAAGGCCGAGGAAAGGAAAGGATTCAAAGTCACGTCTTAAGACCCGATAGAATGATCGTAATTCTACCCCTGTGGCAGAGTGAAGTGGAAGATTTGAAAAGCCCTCAGCCCTCCCTGAAATAACTCTGTGGTGTCAGGGACAGAGCTGGGTGGGCTGCCCAGGGTCACCTGTGAGCAGGACAGGCAGCCACAGGATAAGTGGCAAGAGTTTACTCGTGCCAGGCAAATGTTTCTGAGAGCGTCGGCCAGTCCGTGGGAAGCCGAGGGGATGTCCCCACTGTGGAGCTGAGAGTCTGGAGTCTGGTCCTTGTGCTCATACCTGACTCCTTTCATCTCGTGTTTCCCAACTCCACCTGAAGGACACGTTAGGCAAGGGCTGAATTCTAGTATTTTGAGCCTCAGCCTCTCTGGCAAAGCAGTGAGAAAGAGTAATGATTCCCCAGCTGCTTCACATTAGCCCACTTGGTGAAGATCTCAGGAAATTGTAGCCCAACATAATTCAGCTTACTGACTTGTAAATTGGGAGACCCAAAGCCAGAGCAAGGGGACATCTCAGCAAACCGAGACAAGCTTGGGAAGGGTGGCGTGTCCATAGAATGCAAAGGAAGCAAGGTTGGGACAGGCTCAGAGCAAAGCTGGCTGTGGGTAAAGGGACGAAGCCTGGACTGCAAAAGTCACAAATCTTTAGAAAACTGCAAAGAAAAAATATGAAGTTCTGCATTGTGGGGTGGGGATTGCTTCTCTGTCAGTGTCTTGAACAGCTCAGGTCTTCTGTTAACAGGTTTGCAACGGGCAAAGTGTCGACCGCCCATGATTTTCATCCAAGATTTTTAGTCCAGGTGACAAGCAGACACCACAAAGTGCTGCTAGGAAAAGAGGGAAAGCAAGCAGCCAAGTGAGTGACTGTGAACTTCACCGCAGTAGCAGTGACCTTGGGCTTTCTCAGTCAGCTCTGGTTGTCTGCTGAATGGAAGGGTGCAGAAATGGCTTTTTTTCTCTCTCTGTTGGGCAGAGTTTATTCTTTCACTAACCACAGAAATCCAAGCTCAGTTCAACAGATTTCCAAGCCTCCAGCCTGTGTCTGGGCTTTTCTGGGTTAGTCTAGCTGCTCCACCAGAACCAGGGTGGTATAGAGTTAAGATATGGCCCTGATCCTTTGTTCACTTTCCAAACTGTTTGAGTAGCAACTTTGCAAGCAAAGTGAAATCTCTGAAGGAAGCTTGGTAACTAGTACTTACAAACCAGTATTTGGAAGGAATGGTAGGACGAGTTTCTGAGCATACTGGGATAAACACACCCAGTTACCCATCATTCTAATAGGGCCATGGGGAGCACATGGGCCAAATTGCTTAAGAGTCTCCAAACATCATGATAAATGATGGGCAACCCATGCCTGGTGACTGCTTTACTTGAGGTGTCTGCCCTGTCCCTCCCCTATTGAGGAGTGAACCAGCTTAGTTTCAGGACAACTGTGATCTTCAATTGGTGTGATAACCAGGAGCTCATAGGTCAAGGCCATCCAGCAAGGTGATGGCTGCACTTGAGAAACCCAGTAGCCACTCAGGGGCCCAGAGGCCCTAGCCTGTGATTTTCTCTTCCTTTGGCGTCATTTGTAGTTATTGTGAGAGAACTGAGAAATTAGAGAACTCACATTGCCTTTCTCAGAGGGCCTCTCTCTCTGAGGTTTCATCTGAGTTGCTTTCAGCCCCAGAAAAGTTGAGTTTGAGTCAGACAATGCTTACAAGAAACCACGTTTCTGAAGGAAGAAAATGGGGATTTCCTCTGCCCTCTTTGCCAGATTCCCTTTATAGAAAAGGGGTCCACGTGACACTGAAATTCTGTGAAGACACTAGTGTCTCAAGAGTTTCCTTTGTGGTTATTTTGGCTTCTGTAGGAAGAAAATGAGGGATGCAATGAGGGATGATCTTGTCTTTCCAGCACACACTCCCAACTCTTTGAAATTTTGCCCCATCCCACGTCTATTACCACACCTCACCACAGGCCCCACTTCCCCTTCCATCACTGAGGACCAGATGTTGAAAGCAGTCATGGTCATGGTTCACTAAAAGGCCATTTCACCCTAAGGCAGCAGGTCTCAAGTTTTAGGGTTCATCTGAATGAACTGGCAGGCTTGTTAAAACAGAGGCTGAATTCCCCCGCCCCAGATTCTGATTCAGCTGGGATGGGGCCTGATATCAGGCATTTCCAAGAAGGTCCCAGGCCATGCTGATGCTGTTGGACCAGGGACATTTTAAGAACCACTCCTGAAAACGGTATCTGGTAGGAGGAAAATTGTGATTGGCCTTTGTTCTCAGGAAAAGAGAGAACAAAGAGAACCCATTAGTGGGTTATATATATATATAAATGAGTTTTTTACATCGTTTTGTACTTTTTTTTTTTTTTCATCTCAATTGTAATCCCCGTGGTGGATGGGCAACTTAATTACCCATTCCATTGAAGAATATGGTGGGCTTTGGACTGTTTTGGTCAAAAGAATACTGTGGATGTGATGCTGTGTGATTCCCCAGGTCACAAGGCCACACAGCTTCTTGAACATTCATCCTGAGGGAAGGCATCATGGAAGATCAATTTCCATACAGCTGTATTCCAAGAGGCCATGCAGGCCCTCTGGTTGCTTCCAGACATCTCCACTGTGGTGCCAGACAGGTAAGTAAGGCCAGCTCGAACTCTCCAGTCCTACCCATCTGCCAATTGAGTGACCTGAGTTGAAGTCACAGTCTAGCTCTATTGTCCTAATTCCTAACCAACAGGTTCCGTGAGAAAAAAATGGAGGTAAGTGCCAAGCCTAGAGGAATCACAGGCTTGAGTTTGGTGCCCTCTGCAGTAACCACGAATAAAATGTCTTAATTCCCACCAGGATTTCTACTTACCTGGCCAGGAACAAGGCCCGAGCTGGGAGACTTAAGAGATCATACTCAGTCATGGTGGAGACAGGGTATTTGGAGGTTGTGGAGGGAATGCAGTCATCCTAATTCTTCAACCCACCTGCACCCACAGCCTTTCCAAGGCACTCTGCAACTCTCCTTATCAGTGAGTAAGTGTATTTCTCCACTCAATTCTGATCTTGGCCTGGTGACTTACTCTAACCAGTGATGCAAGGCCAATGGTTTTTCCTCTAGCACTTCTGCCTTTGCCATGACGTCTGGTCTCAGTTGTTAGTGGTTAAGGCACCTGGAGCCCACCTCTGTTGCCCCAGGTGTGCTGACCAAGTCCTTACGTCAACTGAACCTCAGTCAACTGCTAGGTACATCAAGGAGCCCAGTCAAGTCCAGAACTGTCCAGTCTAAGTGACCAATCAAAATGAGCCAAAAAAAAAGCAATGGTTACTGTAAGGCAGTGAGTGAGGATGGCTTGTTACCTGTCAGGGGCAATGGTTAAGGATGAAGCTCCCATAGATGATGAATGTGCACTGTTTGGTCACCGAAGAGTTCTGGTTAAAGTCTAACTTTTACTTCTACCCGAGGGAATGGGCACCAGGGGCAGAGTAAGCGGCAGACCCCTCCCCGGTTCTCTCAACCCATTAGGTGAAAGACCCCACAGTCAAAAGGATATGGCTGATGTGTACACCGCCGTCTACAGCCTATCAGGAGAGCCCAAACCGCGAGGCGGACGTGGGCACAGCCAGCAGAGCCACAGGGGAGCAGGAGGCGGTGTCTACTGGCGTCGGTGCGTCTGTATGTGAGGCGTGGCGTTCCAGAGGGGGTCCAGGGAGCTACAATGTCGAGGGTTTAGTTGAAACTCTGCATGGCTCGTAGACCCGAAAGTAAGTGGCCTCTCTAGACCCAGTAAAATGGCCTCGCTGCCAAGTGGCTTGCTAGAGACGACAGTTTTGAACTTCACACTTTTTAAAGCTGAGATGTGTATCCTAGTGACCACAAATTCCAAATTAAAAGCAATCAATTTAGGTAATTAGACTTAAGGGCAAAGAACTCTTCAAAGAACCTTGCATTTTTCACTCATGTCCAATTCACTGACTTTATGTTAAGAAAATAAAACCCACCAAGACAAGGAGAGTATTGCTGACCATTTTTTACTTAAATATAGTGATCTTTTAAGAGAATAAACCAAAAAAACTTTACACAGCAAATATTTTACATAAATTGTAAACATGCACATCTACTTCATTATTAAGCAAAATAAACTTTTAGGCACAAGATTTTAAAAATCATTGGAGAATGAGACAATGAATCCAGGACAAAAATTACAGGTGCAACAAAAACATACATTTCATAAGACTCCAATCGTTCTTGTCTTCCAACCTACCGGTTGAGGCCTGAGTTTTAGAAATCCTACCTTCCTTGCCAAATGGAAGCATCCAATTCAGCTGTACCTAATATATATCCTCATGACTATTACACTTTCAAAATAATGCAATAAATACAGCACACTCTCTCTCTCACACACAAACACACCCCTTCTTAACAAGCCTCTCAAACAGGGAAGGCTTTTGGAATTTTCAAGTCATCCCACTGAAGCACATACATTTAATACCACACAGAGAGAAAAAATGATTCTGCTACAGACACAGCTCACGAGTGGCATCTTTACCAATCTTTAGTTTTATCTGTATTAAGTTTTCCCAAATTACGCCTTTGCTGTGGCTTGCCATGGCGCCGAGGACACCTTGGACTTCAGTCCGCACCCTGCCTAATGACCCACGACACAGTGACACCTAGCTACAGAACCAAAAGGCCAACAGTGGCCATTCAGGTCAAGATTTCAAAGTCAGGAAAATCAGCACGGAGAGCTTACAGCAGACACCAAATGCCTGGCCTGTCTCCTCTGGGCCTATCTCAGTACTCCACGCTTAGTTTTCTCTGCCTCCTCCCCATCAGGCTATCCGCATCTGCATTCCTGTGGATAGCTACTGTGGGGAACAGAGATGAGAACATAAGGGCGTATTCGCCAACCAGGGATCAAGCAAGAGGCAGTCGGTGTATCCACAGAGAGGGCTGAAAGGGCCAGAAGCCGAGTCCATGCAGGCAGCACTTAGAGTCCCATGAGAGGGGTTCGGCTGGGAAGAGGAGAGAATGAGAAGGCACAGAGGCAGGAAGAACAAGTCCAGTTTGGCGGCACAGGGGACTCCAGAGTAGTCTGTGCTGCCAAATTCTTGTTTTCCAAAAAAGATTCCTTGCTCTGGTGGGTAACGCTAGAGGGGAGGAGGAGGGGCACTAAGATCTGTGTGGGGGTGGGCGCACCTGGAGCTTTGCCAGGGCTTGACCAGTATGGGCATGGATGGGTGGGGGAGCGTCTGAAGCTCAGAGTGCGAGCCTCACCCAACCCGGGGCCACATGCAAGCGTTTCCTATAGAAACAAACATCTTGACCCAATATGCCAAAAACCACAGTTCTGTCTATGTCTATACTAATCAAGACTTTGGGTGAAAAAAAAAAAAGAGGCTTAATTTTACTTCAAGTTCCTGGAACCTGCTCCAGCTCGAACAGGTTGAGAGCAGTGAGACACTTCCCACATCCAGTAACAATTCAAGTCTCCCAGTCAAGACCTTCACCTTCCCTGAGCTGTCATTACCAAGGAATTATAAAGCAATTATCAACTCATTACAAATAAGTTCCTACGCCATGAATCCACCGAAATCTCTTGATAGGCTGCGCCCACACTGCCAGCAGCCAGGTCCCTAAGTGGATGACACAGGTGAGTCTGTAAGGCGAACACTAACCAAAGCCCCCACCACGGACCATCGACTTCCTTCCTAGGTCCGGCTCCCCTCCACGAGCTGGGGAGCGGGAGGCCACCAGGCGAAGGGACATGAGAAAGGAAATCATTTTTAATGTTTTCGACACCCACTGAACCAAAGTAAATGGAAATTTCTCAGGACACATTCATCCACAGAATGGATTACTCCGCACCAATTATGGAACAATTCTTCACACATTCACTCACTCTGGCACATTCACTAGTGACCAGTTTCCTGCAAGGACAAGTTCACTTGGAAACTGCGCACTGCAGAAGGCAATCTTGTGACTTTCTTCTAGTTGGAATATAAAAAAATACAAATCAGTCTAGAGTCAGGCACAAACAGTGGTACAAAAGCATGAACAGAAACACCCTACCCAAGAATGTGCTCATTTCCTATTACAGAGCTCCATCTGGAGTCTGGTTTCTGGAAACTGGCTACTGGTTCACTTGTTCAGAAAGGTCTCTTCACTGGACCTCTCGTCCACCTCCTCTCCCCCACCACCCGTCAGTCGCCCAAATGAAGAACCCTTGGTATGGAGCCCCATGGAACTAGAGCCAATTTCACCCAGTCATGTGCATCAGCATAGCAGCTGCTGATTTCCTCCACTCAGCCAGCTTCACGCACTCGGGGACTACCTGAATCTGAGCTGGAGTACCCAACACTGCTGGCTTTTGGAATCCAGGAAAAGCTCCAATGTACTTATATGTCCCACGCATAAGTAAATGAGAGAGCAGTGGGAGAAGCCTGAACTGGAGGGCGGGTCGGGGACTGGCCACGGCCAGCGTACTGCCTCGTCCTTGTCCGGAAATGAGAGGGTTCAACGAGTAGAGCTCCTGGCCCAGCTGACACTCTTCCATCTTGAAGTCCATTTCTACATGGGCTTGTCAGGTGGGTCAGGCAAAACTTCTGACCACTTTGTGTCAACAGTTTAAGTGGTTTTAACATACTTCTATGCTGCAGTTGTTAGTTCCCCTCTCTTCTACCCCTCCAAAAGATGGTGTTTCATCTTACTGGTGCAGGCCACTAGCCAAACTGTGGCCGACTATGGATTCACTGGCCTGGTAAAGCGGTGGCCTTTCAGTAGCCTACACCAGGGCACACCTGTCTGGTTTTCATGAATGGTGTTACCAAATGGAAATGTCATTCTGTTAGTTCTTCTATAGATCTACTTAAAACTCTGAAACTTGAGACTGCTCAAAAATTACACGAGAAAATCACCCATCACCACTAAGTTAAAGACTTGAATGTGAGAGTCCAGAGTCTCAAACTCCCACTACAGTCACAAATCTGCATTTTCTTCTTGGGAATGGATACCATGCTAGCTTAGCCCGGTCTTGCAGCTTAGTAGCACTCCAACAAGTCGATTTTGAAAGATCTGGCTCTAGTCATCACTGTCACTGCCAGACTCACTCAACTGCAAGTCATTTCCTGTGAAGAGAAAACACAACCCTCAATAATTTTTACAAAAAAGAGATCCAAGACTAAAAAATCTGACAACTGCTACCCTAGACTTAGGAAGGTGATGGGGCCTGACACAGCTGCTGATGCTTGTGCGACTTAGGAAGGTGATGGGGCCTGACGTAGCTGCTGATACTTGTGCAAGAGACAGCAGCAGTCTCTCTGACTGACATGTCACCCCTCTTTCAGCCCTAAGAGGGCAGGCACACTCACGGAGGGTGTTCATGAGCTGGTTGCTTCCTTGGGGCCGGCTGGTCCCATTGGCCACTGCTGGCCTGCTGCTGTAGGACTGCTGGTGAGAAGGCTGGGGAGGAGAGGCCGGGCCGTTGTCCTCGCCGCCGCTGCTAGAGCTGTCTTCATCGCTTCCTGACGAGCTCTCAGAGTCTGAGGAGCTGCTCCCACTGCTGCTGCTCATCTGCTCGATGATGTCAACTTCGGCCCTCAGTTCTAGAATAAAATAACATGGCGGGAGGGAGTTGGCCCACAGCCATTCTCAGGGCAGCACCTAGAGTTTGCTACAAATAGCACACCAGCAAAACCCACAGCAATGAGGAGTAACTGAAAATGAACTCACTTCTCACTCCTTAAAGATGCCCAAACAAAATTACCAAAACCAATGAACAAACAAATAAACCTTTCCCCAGAGGAGAAACTTTAAATCCACCCAAAATAACCAAAGCAAACTGTTTCAGGATGACTATTCTGTGTAAGAGATGACTCGTCTACCTTTGATTTTAACTGCTTTATGAGTTATGGCATTTTCTCCAAATAAGAGAAGAAAATGTTATGGTAGAGGGTTAAAAAATAACTTGACTACAAACTGGTCTGAGTGCTTATTTTAGGATTACCTCCAATCAATAGTGAGACCCAGGTAGAAATCGATCAGTTTTAAGGACACTATGGAGAAATGCTGGGTGGGACAGACATCTCCTGTAGTTCTTTCTAGCTCCATGAACATATGAAGACTCTTCAGCTCAAAGACTGAAGAAAAATGGTGAAATGATATCTTCATTCAAGTCCTCCCCTCTCGATAACTTACTATGCTTGTCAATACCACACTTTTTTTTCAGATGTGAAGCATACTTACCCATGTCAACATCAATAAACACATTAAGGATATAGTGGAGGTGAGACATCGAGAAGATGCCAGATTTTCCTGTGCAGACATAATGTGTGGCCTTAAAAACCATCGTTCTTTTAAGCATAACTGAAAACAACTAACTCATAGTTCAATTTAAGTGAAAACTTCCATACACAGTATTTCACTGCCCAGAAGGAAAGAAAAACTCAATAATCCTGTGCACTGTGTTGAGAGATTTCATTTGCCAAAAGGACAGTTGTATAAAGTGGGAAAGGAGAGTGACTCAAGGATAACTCTTCGTCTTGCCCTATTCACTATTATCATGGATTTTGCCTTATTGCATAAGATTTTACAAATATAAAACGACACTTGTAACTTTGTAACAGCTTGAAGAGTTCAGACTACCCACTCTATGGGGTAAAGTCAAGGTAAGCTAGCCTCAGGTGTACACTGGAGAGTCTGCCCAGGTCGCTAGATCTTTCTGGGTCAGTGTCCGTTACCGCTGGTCCTCATGGTATGTTGACATTTACATGCTGCGTGTCAATGCAAGCACTGGCCATTTCATTTTAAATGTCCTCTTAACTAACTACACTAAAATAGGCACACTCAGTGCTGACCCCCAACACCTTGGAATTTTCTCTCTCAAGCCTGAAGGAGTGTTATGTGGACCATCGGATGGCGTCACACTTGTTTGAATTCTGGCTCTCTGAGCAGGTCACTATTCCTGGACTCCCCCTTGTCAAATGAAAAAATACAAGTTCCTCCCTTCACTACCACAGGGTAGTGAGTACTGTAGCAACGTTCTCAATGGCAGAGAATGCCCATGCCAACACGTCAACATGGCAGCCCTGTGATGACCACACACTACCACAAGTTGCTATCATGGCTCCAGAAATGTTCCCTACCTCTTTTGATGTCGTCCAACTGAGGTTCAGGTGAAGGATTATCTTTCAAGGGAGAAGTTTTGGGTCCAACTGGAGGCTTCGTTGGAGCTCTGAATGGCATAGGTGGTGGTGGTGGTGGTGGAGGTGCGGGTGGCTGTGCTGGCTGCGGGGGACGAGTGGGTTGTTGTTCCATTCTGGCTTGGATTTTACTGCTCCCCTCAGCTCTGAAATGAGGTACATGCATTAAACTGAGGAGCAAACAGGGGTTCTCAAATTTGTTGAAGTGGCAAACACTGGTCTGCAGACCCACATACAGATTGCTTCAAATACTGATATATTTGCAATTCATCACATGAAGTACTCATTTGACACCTGTCTACTGTATTTCAGACGAGAACGGGTGCGTTCGGGTGGTATAGCTATAGACTGTCTACTGTATTTCAATCCTGCATTGTGCACCAATGATATAGAGAGCAGAAAAACAGAGGTGCCGTCCTCAAGATGTGATATAGCAGAAAGTGGACAGAAAGTGTGGGATATGATAATGAGAACCCATTTTACTAGTGGACAAGATGACTATCTGTGTATTACACAAAGTTAGAATCACAAGAGTGAGCTACTAAAGAAAATAGCTCTTTAAATACTGGTCAATTTACAAATTTTCCTGCTGCTTGCTCATTTGCTCCATGCCAACTCTACTGGCAGGTAAGCACATTTCCATCTCAAACAGAAAATTTTACCCTTAAGACTCTTTGGCAAATGGATAGTCTAGCACTTTCCCAACACTAATATGCATACAGAGCACCTGAGACTTCACCCCTTGTGCTTCCAGGGAGTCCCTAAAATTGATTTCTTTGTAAGACACAACACACCTTTCCCCAAGTTTGGTTTCCATGTTTCACTTTTTTTTTTAAATAATATAATAGTTTACTTTTACATCATTTTGTGCATTTTTTCATCTCAGTTGTATGTTTCACATTTTTAAAGCTTTTTTGTTTTTTTTAACTGTATTTGAGGAAGTCACACCTTGTTAAAAACAGCAGCATTGCTAAGATTTTCGATGACTGTGAAGAGGACAGTGAGTACCAGATGCTCACATCTTTAGAACAGAATAGATCACAAAAAGGTATAGAAATAGCACACCAATCTACCTGGTTATTCACATACCTTGTTTTCTTGACCTGAATGCTGCTACTGAGTTTTTCCAGCACATATTCGCCAGTGTCATGATTGATGATAAGCACACAGTCTTTCTGATAAGGTCGCTTGTTCCCCTTGAACACAGTCATTGGTGGTGTGGATCCCTATATGCCAGAAAAAATGTAAGATAATCAAATTCAACACACCAGTATGCATATTCAGACTGAAGTTACAGGAGACTCTACCTCATCAACTCCTGTATCAGAGCTACTTGAAAAGAAAACAATGAAATAATTTTTACTTTAACCTCTCTGGCTTCCCAGGCAAAACTAAAATAGAAATAATAATAAAGCAGAATCTGTGACTATGCTAACTGGTTCTAAGTGACCAAGAAAGGTACTAGAAATGTCTATAATTACTGTACTTTTTTCTAGAGTCAGAAAATAAATAAAAAATGGTGAAATGTGGACTGAGAAAAATAACTGAGCTATTACTTGCATTACACTAGCACTTTCATCATGAGAGGTAGAATGGAACGATCTCCGTATTTCCTCATAATTGGGAGAGTGCCTGGCTTCTCCACCAAGCCAACCAACCATCAGAGCACTCTCCAGGGGCAGCTCATTATTCTGGTTAGCTCGCAGTAAATACACCACACCAACTCACCTGTCTAAGCCCTGCCACTGCTGCTGTTATTCTGAAATCAAATAATCTTTAAACTGGACACTTGGCCCTTCAGCCTCACACTGCACCACCTAGCCTGCACTGGATGGACTCCAAAGTAGAAAGTGACTGACCAGCCTTCTCTCAGATCCTCAGATTCTTTCTTGCAAGGCTTTAACAAGGCTTCTACACGAAACACCTAGCCTCTTCCTCTTTCGATTACTCAACCTTCAAATATGTCCAAAGGCCATTTCCTTATAGAAGCCTCCCTTGATTTTCTAAAACAAGTGCTGTTTTCTTATGCTTATTTTAAATCTACACCACAAGCTTCAAAAGGCAAGAAATGTGATTCTGTTCAAGACTGTTCTCAGACTAGCAGTGTGCCAACATACAGCAGGTACTCAGGAGGTACCAAATATGACTGGATCCCTTGCATAGAGTTAATAAAGGATCTGACTTTGTAGAGAACCTTAGAGACCATCTATCTAACACGTTCACTTTACATTGGGGAAATTAGGGTCCAAAGAGAGATGATGTAACCTGCCAAAGGTGGTAAGTAATGAGCTAGTAGTTTGAACTGGCAGATAAATTTTCCTTGGCATACAGCTTCCCAGGACTCCCTGCCCAGAGCAGTTTTATTCTATCACTGGTCACCAGGTTGCTAGGGCCGTGATGCGCAACAACACATGTTCACCAAGCATATTCTGTTTGACCCTTCCAGCTTCATGATCAGTGCCATCTTGGGTGAGTGTTCATAGCAAGGGTTCAGTTCAGCTTTGAACTGGGTCCCTCATCCCGCAATTAGCTGAATGCTCTGAACCTCTGGTTCATGCTTAAAAGTACTGGCCTACTCTTGATGCCTTACGAGATACAAGATGCCAATTCAGCTCCTGCCTGCACTCCCACTTGGCTGCCCCAAACCACTGAACAGGTTATTTTATGAGCATGACACCTAGGGCTTTTTTCTCTGGAGTTGCACGGAAGGGAAGCTAAGAAAATGTAAGCGTCACTAGGGTCCAGTTAAGAACCCTGTTTACTCTATTGAAAATGGAGAAATGGCAGCTTGGGGAAAACTAGGAAGAATCATTTTTAATCAGGCACCTGGGAGGTACAATTTCATCCCACCTCCCAAATTTCTTTTTTCCTTCTGTTGGCTTTTTAAAATCTACAAACTTCTAAAATGTAGGAAATTGAAATGGCATAAAATATGAGGCTTCAGTGTGGTTACACATTAAACAATAACAGTGAAATACACTTACAGGGATATGTGGCAGTGTGATTGTGACTTCGTCTCCTTTGCCAACCTGAAGCTCTCCTTCACAGGAAGTATCTATAGATGCTGGCTTAAAGTCATCTGAAGGAAAGAAAAATTGCAGGTCACTAATATTAAGGGTTTTCCGGGCATTCTCAATTACTTTCTTTAATTACTCAAATAAATGGAAAATAAAATAACTTAGGATGTTTTCAAAATGATTTCACTATAGAAAAAGTCACACATATAAAAGCAGACAAAGCAATGCAATGAAACCCCATGCACCATAAGCCTAGCTTCAGTTATATCTCAAGCACAATTCTGTTTTGGCTATATCTCCACTTACTTTCCCTCCTACCCACACTATTTTGTAAAAAACAAACCAAAAACTAGACTTTATACCATTTTATGAAGTACATCTATGCCCTCCTCTAAAAACAAATGCCTCATTATTCACAATATAATGCTTTACTAGAGTTGATGCAAGGATCAAAAGCAAGAGAGCATATGAAGAGTTCTGACTGTAAAATACTGCATGAAATATGAACAGCCACAGAGATATACATGTGTATATGTGTGTACATACACACACATATTTGCTGATTTCATTCTGCACAGGATTTGCTGCGCTCAAGTTCCACAGCTTTATAAGACACTCCTGTAGCTGTTCAGAGCAGATGGCTATGTCGCTAAAGGTTAATCCTGCCCATGCGTCTGAAGTGCAATTAAAGCACAGCAGAAGCAGCCATTTTGCTTCATTTTATCACACACCCGCCTCACTGTAGGTCAGGTGCATGTATGAAGTCTCATTTAAATGGACTTCACATGGTCCTTTGGCCCACTAAAGCATCAACTTAGCAAAATGATCAGGAAATGATATTCTTATCACGTTCTCAATATCCTCCTCCCGAAAGAGCTAGAGCTGCTGTCATTGGGAAGCTTAGTAATGGCATTGCAGGTGACCAAACAGAGATGGAACTTCATTATATAACACACCCTCTGCAATGTGTTGAGTCACATCTACTAGCTCCTCTGAGAAAAACAAGTCCTAACTAGAATTAGCTCTTCCAAGACCGGAAGCTAAGAGTTTGTGAATCACAGAGGGGTGCTCAGTCAGCCAATTCCCAACAGCCCAGTCTTGACCCAGAGCATAAGAGTAAGTATTGCAAGGGAGTCCTCCTTCAACAGGGGCTGTAATCATGCAGAAAAAGCTCCATTGTAATAACTACTTCAACAATCCACTGCCTAGTCTCTTTTGCCCCCAAACATAGATCAAGCTTTAATTTATTCCAAGTTCATATATTCCAATTTTTATTCTTCATCCACAAGGGATTTGGTTCTGAGAAAATGTCTGTGTGGCATAGGGGCCTTCAAAAAACATCCAAATCAAACGAGGCACACAAAGTTGGAGGAGGAAGCCTGAGGGGTGCCACGACATGAAGAGGTGAATCTCAGTGTCCGGATGGTCAGAACCAACACGGCTGAGGAAAACACGGAAGAGAATGGAAAAGGTCGAAGTAGGTAAAGCCACAAGCAAAAGGGAAGACCTTTAAATGTGGGGAACCCTAGTGGGGGAGTCAGAGGGTGGGTTAGCCAGAGAAGAAGAACTGAGGTGGTCTCTTTTGTACTCAAGAGGGGGTACGTTTGGCATAATGAAGGGTGCGTGTGGAGATGCAAAGATAAAGGGGCTAAATGACGTCTGGGTTGAAGCGTTTGGAACCATGAGGCTGAAGAGCGGTGACGAAGGTTCTTTTTTGTAAGGAATGAACAGGAGGGTGGGAAATCGTGGTTCTGGAGAATTCGCGGTGAGAGACAAGGGAGGTGACGCTGACAAGGGGTTCCCCGGGCTTTGGACCATTGAGGGACCGGGGAGGGGGGCTGGGGGGGGGAACGCGGTTGGTCGGAGGCGGCTGCAGCGGCCGCTGGGAAACTGGGGGGCGCTGACTTACAGCGAATGGTATGGAAGGAGGTCCGCGGCCGCTTCTCAAAGCTCTCCCCGAGCCGCAGGCAGTGTTCCTCGCGGTCCAGCAGCGGGTTCGCGGTCCCGTTCATGGCCCCGCCCGGAGCTCGCGTCCGGACCGGCGCGCTCCTGGCACGGCCCGAGCTCCCGGCGCCGGCGTCCGGGAGAACGATGCTCCCGGGACACCGCTCCGGAGCGCACGGGGAGCGGAGCCGGCGCCCACCCGGGGCCGGAAGCAAGTCCTCACCTCCGCGTCGGGGTGGGGGAAAAGTCTGCGGAAGCCAGGCCGAGGAACTTCCGGCGTCAGGGAGGGACTTCTGGGTCCGGAGCGGAAGTGTCGCGGGAGGTGCCATGGCGAAAGAATTCCGCCGGGACGATCCCGATTCGAGGTCCTCGGGGCCGACTGGCCGGGTCGCGGTTTACCCGCGGCAGCTCCCAAAATCTGCCTCCAGGGCCTGGGTCTGGCTGAGGGCTGCGTGCGCCCGGCCCTGCCTCTCAGGGTGAACCGAGGAATTGATGACGGTGAGCCCCGAGCGCGCAGGCTAGTGTAACACGGGTCTGGGAGCTCGTCCGGCAGCAGTCCCCGGACCCCGCGGCCTGGGGATTCTCGAGTGTCCGGACACAGGTGGCTCCTCGGGACCCTGCTCCACGCGGGACTGGGTCTCTCTGCCCTTTGGTGCCGAGACGGCGGCAGCCTCAGTTCCTGGAAAGCAACGCCCCCTCTAGTTCGTGCTACCAGTTCTTGGGGTGATTAGAGACTCAGACCACCAAGGCTACGCTCCATCGCCACGGAAAGAAGGCATCCACGATCCGTGGGCAAACTTAACTCCACTTGTCTGGCAGTTGACCACCCGCTTCCAGTTCTGGCAACTGTTCTGTTTGTTTTTCAGTCACCCCTTTCACGGGCACCGAACTTTTTATTAGTATTTTCTCCCCCTCGGTGTCTCAACCAGTTCTTGGGGGTGTCCTTTTTCTAAATGAAACCGATTTATTATGGTGATGTTATTATTTGGGTTGGAATTAAGGTTCGGTGCATGAGCGACCTGGCCACTGAATGTCAGCCCAGTGAAGGGAGGGAGAGTGTCCGGGACTTCTTTGTGACCTCTCCTCGCGTATGGGCGGGGTCAGCCTGTAGTAAAAGTTGGCGACAGAACTGTTCTAGAACCCTAACCCAACTTTTTAAAGAACTGTCTAGAAGCACTAACTAGAATCTCATTCTTTTTCCTGTAAAGCGCCCAATGCTGCTTTGAGGTATGTGCCTAACCGGATGAACCACCTGTAAGGAAACCCCGCCAGGCCTGTACATCACTTGGAATTCTTAGATTATCCAGGAATGGACGGTCTTCAGCAGTGTTAAGTATATTACCGTTGGCTTATGAGATGGTTTCTCTGCAGAGGAAAGGGCTGCCGTCCAGGATCCTCAGCTCTGAAGAAGAGGAGAAACTGAAAAGAGACCAAACTTTAGTGTCAGATTTTAAACAACAAAAACTGGAAAGAGAGGCTCAAAAGAACTGGGACCTTTTTTACAAAAGAAATAGTACCAATTTTTTCAAAGATAGACACTGGACCACTAGAGAGTTTGAGGAACTAAGATCATGTAGGGAGGTAAGCAGTGTTCTACCTTATTTAAGTTGTTCTTTATGTAAAATGGTGAAGGAGGGTGGGCTTACTGCCTTCTTGTGGGGATTGTGAAGTGGAGAATTTTAATAACCTGTCAAAATGCTTCCTACCTTAGCGAGAAATCAGCTGGCATTTCCTGGGTTGTCTGATACATAAACCTTAGTGGCAATTTTTTATTTCTTTAAGGCTAATCTGGAAGGTGTAAATGTTAAAGGCATACTGAGTGAATTTAGTGATAGATTAAGGTTCATAATAATAAGGAAGCACATTTATAACATGGCCCATTTCTAGAACTTTATTTGTGCTCTGGAATTTAAGCCCTATTAACACCATGAAGTTGGCATTACTCTTGTCCCCACTTATAGGTGATCTTGAGACACAAAGCTGTTGAAGTAATTTACCCCAAGATAGAGCACAGGGGTGAGGAGAAGCATCCCATAGTGAGTGTTGGCAGTTAAGCTGAGTCTTTTCTGTTAGACATTGTTCTGTGTTTTTCTCCACATGAGACTACCCAGTGTTGGGTGGAAAATTCACTATCAGTGTAGCTTTTGGGTATTCTCTTGTTTGTTTGCTCTTCCATGTTCTGGACCTTTTGGTTTGATTTGTTTCTTTAGCATAGGAAGGTAGTACACTTTGATTTTCTCTTTCCTCAGTTTGAAGATCAGAAGATGACTATACTTGAAGCTGGCTGTGGTGTTGGGAATTGTTTATTCCCGCTTTTAGAAGAAGACCAGAATATCTTCGTCTACGCCTGTGATTTTTCTCCAAGAGCTGTTGAATATGTCAAGGTTAGTACACAGTCTGTGTGTTACACTATGTTTCCATTTTTGTTGTTTTCTGTTTTCTTAGACTTGTTTGACCTGTTCGCTCTGTCCACATGCTCATCCTTGACCTTTCCTGTCCTTGACAATAACCAACTATAAAAGCACGAGTGTCATTTTCCTGTTTCCATGTTACATACATCTATGAATTATTAATGCAACACAGCTTTAATTAGAGAAAGAGGAAGGAATAACATAACAACATCCATATACCTATACTCAGATATAATGCAACGTTTTGCCACATTTGCTTTGTAGACTTTTCTTTGCTGAACTTTCTTATTAAAGTAAATTGTGGGTGTCAGGACACTTCACTCCTGAATCTGTCTGCATACATATTCAGAAACTCAGAACTTTTCTATGTGACCACAATATACTTACCATATCCTATAGCAATGACTGTAATCCCTTTGTATCATTAAGACCCACTGTGGGTTAAGATTCCTGAATAGTTCAGGTGTCTTGAATCAAGGACTACATCTTATATAACATGTATCTTCAGTCTCAGGTATTTTGCCCTACCTCTTGAGTTTTTGGTAACTGCATGGGTCTTATCTTCCATCAACTTGTGGTTTTAGCTTCCATTTAACTGTCATATTTTAATAGGGGCATCACATTCTACATTTACTTGCTTTCTTCACTCTATTACATCTTGCAGAATCTTTTGTAGTAGTACATAGAGGTCTACCAATCGTGGACAACCAATGTCTCTTATTTGGTTTATTCCTTGTAACTAGTGAGAGTGAAGTGTTTGTAATACGTAAATGTTAATTTTCATCTGCTCATGAGTTCCTTTATTCCATGCAAATTAGTAGCTGAATGTGTGCCAGTCACTCTTCTAATCACTGGGGTTAAGTAGTGAACAAAACAGACCAATCCTACTCATCCGGAACTTACATTAGGAATTGTCTTTTGTAACATTTGCCCACATTTTCTACTTAACTTCAGGATATGTTCTATTCTATTTGTTGCACACATTTCTTATAGTTCTTCATTGTTTTATGGTATTTTGTAACAGGATTTAAATTTTGTCAGATTTATTAATCTTTCTTTTCAGATGCTATGGTTTTGTATCTTGTTTGTGATTTCTTTAATTACCTATAAGCTGTTTTTATAATTTTGATTGTGTTTTTCATTAATCTGGAAAACTTTTAGTTATTACTGCAAATATTTTTTCAGCTCTTGTTCTTTCTTCTCTTCTTGGGATTTCAATTACACATATCTTGGTATTATTTGCTATTGTCCCACAGATCTTGAATGCTGTTTTGTGTGTGTGTGTGTGTGTGTGTGTTTTTAACCTTTTTCTCTTTGCATTTTCAATTTGCATAATTTTTGTTGTCCCATCCAGTTTACTGATTCCTTCCTAGGTAGTAGACATTCCTATGGCTCATTCTCTCAAAAGCATTCTTCTTTTCTTTACAATATTTTTGGTGTTTTGCATTTGGTTGATTCTTTTTGTAATTCTCTCTGCTGAAATTACCTATCTAATCTTCTGTTTTGTCTGCCTTTTCCATTAGTGACTTTAACATATTAATCATAGTTCTTTTAAATGCCAAAACTTTCAGCTGCAGCATCTGTCGATCTTAAATTTGACTCTGATGGTTGTTTCGTCTCTTCAGTCTGTGCTTTTTTTCTTGCCTTATAGTACGCCTTATGACTTTTGTTAAACATGATGTTTGGGGTGGTGGGTACTAGGGTAATAAGTAGTTGTAACAGTCTAGTCAGGAGTTGGACTGTGTTTGAAGTCTGTCTTTGCTGTAGTTACTGTGATGCTTGTTGCTATGGGCACCAGAGACTGCACACTCCTCTGGAGACTTAGTCTTACTTCTGGACTTTGGGGCTTTGCTTTTGCTCTCCCCTTCTCTGTCTCATGTAGCTCTCCCAGCTGTAAGCCATGATCACAATTACTGGAGACAGTTGTTCTCTAATGTTCTGATTCTCACTTTGTGAACTGTGCAGTGGGATCATGTCGCAGAGGTATAGCCTTCTCAAGTGTACCTGCCTCTCGGAAGAGTGCTTTTTCTCTTTATTGGCCTTCCTCGCCTGTAGGACCTAGAATAGGGTAGGAGGGGACCATCTCCTCTCCTGTGGTTTTGAGGCCATTCTCCTGGTATGTGAAGGCTAGGTCTAGGCAGAATGGTTTCCTACCTCAGGTGCAGTGGTGTTCTGTCAGGCCCTAAGACTTTAGGCGTCTGACTTCTCTGCAGAGTAAGCCTTTTCTTCCTTAAAGGGATAAGAAAACACCAGAAAGAGTACTGTCCTCTCTGTGAGAGCTCAGTGATGTTCTTAGCAGAAGCACCTGCAAAAGGTGGGATGGCCTTATATGACTTCAGCCCTTGGGAGCTTCATGCTCTAACCCCCACATATAGCCTCCAGCAGTTTGTCAGATTTCTAGTTTTATCATTTGCCTCAATTCAGCATATGCGTGGGTCCTTTGCTCTTCCTGAAGGCACCTCTCCAGATTTGGGAATGACTGGTTGTTCTTTGGGTTCACAGAAAAATTATCTGCTATCCAACTTTTTCTTGAAAGGATGAGACCATCATGCCTCCTCTGTGCATCTGAGCTAAAACCTAACAGTATCCTTTAGTATGAGTAGGTGACTAGCTGTGCAAACATAGTAATTGAATGAGAAATTCATTTTCACTCCCTGGTAATTGTATCTTTTATGATGTAGCTTTTTTTTTTTTAATCTAGTTGTCATTTTGTCACCTTTCTGTTGTCATACATTTCCTTCCTCTATATATACAGGTCTGTTTTTGTGGCATTGTTCTGTCTCAGTGATCCATTTGTCCATCCCAAAACCACATTATTTTTACACTACATTTTGTGAAAGTCGTTTGCCTTCTCCTTCATTGTTCCATTTTTTGAGAAACTGACTTTGATATTCTTGAGGAATTTTGCTTTCAGATGAATTGTCATGTTTCTAGAAATTTATTAGGAATTGGCTGAGATGCCATTGAGTTTATAAATGGGATTAAAGGTAGAATTGATGTCTTTCCAATATTGAGACTTCACATCTAATAAATGTATTTATTTCTCTCTATATATGTCTTCATGTACATTAGAGAAAAGTTTAATATTTTTTTGAATAAAGCCCTTATATTTATCTAATAAACTCATGAACAAAAAAAATATATCAGGAACACACCTAAAGTTAAGAAAAAAACAAGTTAGGTCTATTTAGATTGTACAATAAGGGAAAATATAACCCTAGAAGAACTGTGGGATCATGTTAATAAATGGAGTTAGAAGGTCTTCTCAGGATTTAGCTTTGTAGTGGATGATTCAAAGGACAGTTAAGGAAACAGACTTGTTTTAAATATCATACTCCTGGAAATAATATTCTTCAGAGATGCTAAGTTTTGAATGTGTGATAGACCTTGTCTTCTCCTCAGTTAAAAGTGATTTGTTAAAATGAAATCTTAAGTCTCATAGTAAGAATGACCATTGCATGCTTGATTGTTCATATGGCTCACTATGCACAATTCCATTTTACCCTGTTACAAAGTGATCGTTTATTTTTGTGCAACAGGACAGACGTGGAAATAGGATCTCATTTTGGCTGTATCTTCCTATATGTATGAACATGGGTATTGTGTTACAATTCTTTTGTTTTTCCTTTCTCTAGCAAAATCCTTTATACAGCACAGAAAGATGCAAGGTGTTCCAGTGTGATCTGACTAAAGATGACCTTCTGGAACATGTGCCCCCAGAGTCTGTGGATGTTGTCACGTTGATATTCGTGCTGTCTGCTGTTCACCCTGATAAGATGCACCTTGTCTTACAAAACATCTACAAGGTTCGTGTTCTGTAGCCTGCACTTGTGTGTCAGACTTGATCTTGTTCCTTTCCCCTGAGGCTCATGTATTGTCCAGATTCAGAGGCTCCCTGTTCTCATTAACTTTGTGTGAAAAGGTCTCTCTGGCATAAAACCCACACCTACCTGATTTGGGTGGTGTTCGTCACTGTTCTCCTGGTTGGCCAGCCTTGGAGTGAGGAGGAGTTTGTGGTTACCTGGGCCCTGTGGAGTCCTGCTGTGAAGTGAGAGGATGTGGTTCAGTGGCAGAAGACAATGTGGAATCACAGTCAAAACCTGGCTCCCCCTTGGCGGCGCCTTCACCCCTCCCAGTCTCAGGCTCACTACTTGTAAATGTGGAGTAGTCATAGTTCCTAGATCTAGGGCTTGGGGAGATTGCAGGAGATCATTGTGAAGGGCTTATCCTAGGGCATGGCAAGTAGTCTTTAAAAGTCACCATAGCTGTTATTGTCGCCACACTATAGTTATTATGGTGGGAGAACCAAGCGGCGATGGCCGCCCGGAGGCTGCGGAGTCATCAGGAAGTAAAGCTCATGTATCTGCCGTGTGACTCGGGACACTGGTGTGATCTGCACTCTTCCATCCGTGAGCCTTCGTTTTCTTGTTTATCAAAAGTCGGTGTCTCACAGAGTCGTTGAGAGTTGTAGGGATATATGGGGGTGCTTTATAAACTTGCTCTTATAGCTATACAAACGTAGTGTTTTGATTAATTTAAAAATCAACTCAGTAAACTAACATTGGTACTTACCTGAAACATTTTTTTACCATTTAAAATTTATTAATATTTATCCATCACCATTTTGATACAAAGGGGTCATGGATCATCTTTCTTAAATGAACCATGCACGTAATAGAGCTTTGGTTTCTTTAAAATTGCAGTAAGATCTCAAAAACAGTTGGAACCTTAGGGCAGATTCTCTTATTTTTGCCCAGACTTTCACAATGACCCTCCCACAGCTAGCTGCAGTAGTTTTAGTGTTTCTTTCAGTGGGAACACTACATAAAAGCATCCAACTACATTTTCATGGAAAATAAAATTTTCTGTTCATATTCATGTTGCATAATTCATATACACCCAAGTATGTAATTATAAATGTAAGCTCAGTGGCACAAGCAACACAATCACTGATGACACGAGTCCAGCTCATAGGGACGCTGGGCACTGACGTGTAAGGGAGCGCGGTCAGCAGGCCTGTAAGCCTCACCTGTTCTGTGGGCTTTTCAGTCAGCCCACTTTACAGAAGGAAAGGAGCGCATCCAGCAAGGTGGAAAAGTACGTGTTGGGTGAGGGAGTGTCTGTGTGTATAGAACTCATGTTATGTCTCTCTAGAAACCTGTTAGGAAAAAAATCATTCTTGCATAAACATCAGTTTTCAAAATTTAGATATTGACATGCTGATTTTCGCCCCCTGCTTGTGAGGCTCTGTAAGGTTGGGGTCCTTACTGCCCATTCCCCTGTGCCTAATAGATGAGCAGCTGGGAACCCAGCACATGTCCACAAATGGGCATGGAGCTTAAGTGGAGTAGGGAGGAATAGAGGGGGCACCAACGAGAGGGTGGCAGGATCACCTGGTTTGGAGTTCCAGGTGAGGGTGATGGATTACTAAAGACAGGAAACTAGCGAAAGCTGGAAAGTTGGTGGGGTGGGGGAGGTCAGAGAGTAACTTATATGACATTGAGAGTATGCATGGTATGCATGGGGTTAGATACTTTTTTTTTTTTAAAGATTTATTTAATTGTGCATACAGAACTGGGGTACAGGCCAGAGGCTCAGGGGTGGCGAGAGACAGAGTGGGGAGCAGAACAGGCAGATCGACAAAGTACACTGCTGAGGGGAGCAGCAGGCGGGTCAGGAGAGGTCTGCCGCACCATGTGGTCACCTCCGGGGCAGGCGGGAATCGAACTCATGCGGAAGTGGCCTTAGCTTCTCAATGCTGTGCTTTAACCCGCTGCGCCACCAGGGAGGGCCAAGGCGTTAGATACTTTTTAATAGTGACAAGGAATTAGGGCATTAACATGGGAGTGAGTGGTTCAGTTAGCATGGGGGACGGGTTTTTGGAAAAGAGAAGCTGAGATCATTAAGAGGTCAGCATACTGAGAAGGATAATCCACATATTTATTGAAATGTATCTGGTTAGTGACCAGAGTTGAGTGATGTAATATTGAGGCTAAGACAGTAAACTAAAGGGCAGATTCATCATCAAATGGCAGGAATAACCCTGGCACTAAGAGAGAGCAGGAACAGTACGGGGTAATGAGTGGTATAAATCTGATGACAAGAGATTCTGAGCTGGAAGTTTAGGGAGGAGAAAAGGAAGTGTTTAGAAAGCATCATCAGGAGCAAGCAGGACACCCGCCCCCCTCCATGCCCAGGGCACAGGGGGAGGCAGAAAGCACGGACACTGACTGGAGAAGGTGCAGGGGAAACTTCTGGCTGTCAGGTCTCTGCAAGCACAGGAATGTGAAGGGCACAGAGGGAGGAGGGAGGCGTGGTCGGAGTAGAAGGCCTGAATAGGGTCCACGGGGCTCTATGGGGTAAGAATGTCCGCTGCAGGTACTTCATTCAGCATGGCCCTGAAGCCAGGAAGGAGAAGTGAAAGAGTTAAGGATGAGAAAAAAAAAAAAAAGAAAACTCATTACTGCAGATAATACAGTTGACTGATTAGAAAATATTAAAAGAACTACAGAAGCATAAGATGAATGTACTTAATGCCATGGAACTCTGCACTTAAAGAGAACACACAGTACGGTCTTACTTTTCCATTTAACAGTTTAATATTCACCCATTTTATTGTGTTCCTGTGGTTCTTTTGTTCTGACCATTGTGTTCTGTTCTACTAGAGCCAGCAAATAATGTGTGTGGAGGCCAAATCTGTTTGACAATAAAACACCCATAGAATAAATACTAAGAGTTACAGGAGCTGACATAAAATCAGTATATATAAATGAATATATAATACAATGGAAGTGTAACTTAAAAGGGAAGCTTTCCAAATAACAATATAAAAATATAAAAATAAGAATAAATCTAATAGATGTGTAAGGCCTAGAGTAAATTACATGCAATAAATTAGTTATACCTATACCAAGCAACATTTTACATTTATGTAGGAGAAGATAAGATATTCATTAATGGATATTATAAGGATGATTGATTTTTTTCCTAGTTGAATGATGTAATTACAATAAAACTCCAATAGATTTTTATTTTTTGTTTGTTTTTGTTTTTGAGGGTTTTGGGTAGGCTTTTTTCTTTTTGAGGAAATTTATATGTTGATTTTAAGTTTCTATGAAAGAACAAAGGCCCAAACTACTCCAGAAGAAGAATGTGAGGTGGGGAAATGTATACCTTACCAGATATAAAGGGTTATTAAGGCGCTGGTAATTAAGACAGAATGGTGTTGGCAAATGTGATAGGGAGCTTAAAAATAGACCCATGATATTTGGAAATTTGATAATGTGATAGAGGTGACCTGAAGATCACTGGGAAATGGAGGCTCAACAAATGATTGGTAGCCTCATGGGGGAAATGAAGTCGTATCCCTTCTTCACATCTTGTACAAAAATCATTCTCAGGTGAATTAATGACTTAAGTGGAAAAAACCAAGGTGAGTTTTTCCAAAGAAAATATAGGAGAAAAATCTTTAAGACTTCAGAGTGGTGAAATCTTTCAAGAAGATGACCCAAAATGTTCCAAGCACAAAGATGTTAATAAAATTATGAGTTTCTGTTCTTCAAACGACAGAAAGACAAGTTAGGAAAAGTAATTAAAAATCTATAAAACTGAAAAAAAAATTACCCAGAATAGAAAAGGAATTCTTCTGTATAAGGATAAGTTGATGGAAAAAATGGACAGACATGAAGTCATTTTATAGAAGAAAACACTCAGACATTGAGTTAACATATGAAAAGATGACCTATTCAAGAATACAGGAACTTGAAAGTAAAATTATTAATGAGACACCTTTAATGGAATTACGAAGTCTGAGAAAGCCAGGTATAGAGGATATGCTTATTCTTGATTTAGATGTTCAACTTTAATAGCTATGACATGTGATATTTAAAAGAAAAAGATTGACTTGCACTGTCCCAGTCCACATCTGGTCCCTGTTGTGACTTTTCTAGAGTTCCAAGTTCTACTGCACTCCTCCTGATTTTACACTCCAGTAGCAAGCTTTTCTCAGTTAGCTTGAGTGGAGTCATAGCGGTGATGAGATTGCTTCTCCTTGCCCTCATACAGAGGGGGGACTGGTTTGTTCATTTGATATCATGTAATTCATTAGGAAATTACCAGGAGAAACGACCTCTCTGTCTCCGACAATAAGGCTCCCTTTAGGCAGCTTAAGCCTTCCATGAACAACATGGTGATAAGCCTTAGTGATGCAGATCTAATAACCTCAGGATGTTAGCATCCAAGGAATGTAAAAACAACGTAATTTTAAACTAAAAACCATCTTAAAAGTTGAATTCCCTCATTTTGGAATAGAATGGCCAAATAGACCAGACTGGCTGTTATTGGAAGACCTGGGTGTTAGGCTGCGTTGAGCTCTGGCACCTCCCTGACTGGGCCTTACTCGTTAGATCTGTCTCCCACTTCTGGGAGTTGTCGGCGAGTAAAAGACCATAAAGTTGGGAAATGCCTGGTACCCACACAAGTGGCATGAGCAAAGGAAGCATTAGTCTCATGATTATTATTTTGCAGATGAGAAAGCGCATTCAGAGGGCGGCAGGTATTTGCTCAACTAGCTAATGGAAGAACTGGGATTTGAATTAAGAGTTGCAAATTTCTGAGCGAGTGTTCCTTCCTCCGTCCCACATGGCCTTTCCTCTCGTCTGACATGAAGAATAAGTGTTGCTCATGTGAACTAAGTTTTTTGTAGTTTTTGCTTTTCAATTCACGTTTTAAAACTTAGCATTTCTGGCCAAGGTAAGAATTTTTAGCCATGAGACTCTTTAGTGAAAATATTAGTAAAGTACATGCTAGTACTAATAAGAATCTACTATTTGAGAAAATCCTTGAAAGGACTAGAGACAGTTTTTCAAATTCTATTCAAGAACAGGAGCTGTATATCAACCTACATTAAAAATACAGTAGGTAGTATTTTTGTTGATGTGCTGGGTCACAGAAGGTGTAATGAATGTCTCTTTTGGTGTCCACTTCTACTTGGGAATGGTATGTAGCTTTTGAGAAAATTTTCATGTAAAAGGTGAGTGATGCTAATTGGTTTCCATTCTGAGAAGCACTGTCAGGTTTGTAAGCTGGAGCAGTTACACCCTCACTCTGCTGCGCTTAGCTTCCAGTCTTGAGACAGCGCTCTGCAGCCACCTGGGAAGGGCTTCCGCACAGGCCTGCCGGGGCCTGGCCTTGCTCTCCCTCCGCGGCCGCGCTGGCCTCAGAGTCCCTGCCTCACTCCACTCGGCCTACTACGTGGCCTGACTCTATAGAGTAGAGCCTTGTGACCTAAGTGGACGTCCTGATCCCCACTTCATGGCTGATGTTGATTGCGGGCAAGATGCTTACCTCTTGTAGCGTCAGTTTCCTCATTTTACAGGATAATAAACAGACTTCTTTCTTCATCTCAGAATTGGATGAAGGTCCAGTGCAAAAAAAAAAGTCTGGAAAGCAATAGAGTGCCAGGCACCTACCAGTTATTAGCATGGTGGGCAAACTGTCCTTAATTATAGCACTGTGAAACCAGAGCTGAGACAGCATGAGGAAAGCCAGCCAAATCAGTGAAAAGCCAAAGTGACATCAATGCTTTTTAAAGAGACAGTTTGACTGCAGGGTCAGGTACTAGGAGGTGGCAAATGAAAGGTTAGAAGTTACTTTAAGGAACAAAAGACTTTCATTTTGTGCCTTTCATGTTTTCATTGCATGACATTCGACTTTCCAGAGGGCTCAGGCAGCGTTCCTCCGTGTTGGGGCTCCAGGCTGAGTCTTGCTGTACCTTTATAGCAGGCTGTTGCGTCTTCGTAGTATGCGTGTTTCAGGCTTGCCCTTTTCTTAGTATTGCAAATTTAAGTGTCTTCATTTAACATCTTATTTTATAGTGAGCTTTGTTTGACTGGGTTCCTCAAACTTACACACAGCCTACTTTTGTTTTGTAGGTATTGAAACCAGGCAAAAGTATCTTGTTTCGTGACTATGGGCTTTATGATCATGCCATGCTTAGGTTTAAAGCCGGCAGCAAGCTTGGAGAAAACTTTTATGTTAGACAAGATGGAACCAGATCATATTTTTTCACTGATGGTAAGAAAAACCAAGTTGAGCCTGCGCTTGCTGGCTGGACTGCTGAACCGTGGCTGTGCAGGGTGGGCCGGGTGGCACAGCTTTAGAGGCCTTCGGCCAGCTGTCAGTGTGTGCTCCACACCAGCCCTTGGGACGCACAAACAGCCCTGAGGCAGCCTCTGGTGACTAGCTGGTGAGCCCAGGCAGCCTCTGACCAGCCATGCGGGTGCCCCACTGAGGACTGGAAGGGGGAAACATGGAGAGCAAGTTAGAAACTTCACTTGGCCCGAAAATGAAGCAGCACAATGAAGGTAGGACAGTGTGATGCCTTGGGATTCCTCCCTGGCCGGAGGCAAGAAACCCTTTTCTATAAAAAGGTTGGGTAAACTTTCAAATGTGCACATTTGCTATAAAGGGGTCTCTGAAAAGCTGTTTTCGTTAAGAAAGTTATCTAAACCATGATTTCAGTGTTGAAAGTGTTTCCAACATTAGCTTAAACCCTCCTGATACTCTGGGCTATGCACTGCCTACCTTCTTAAACTTTGTTTTTTTAACAAACACTTGCATTTCTTGAAATGAAATATTTGTTTTTAAAAGAAGCTGAAAATGAGTGATTATCATAAGCACTGCAAACTCATTAAAATATCAGCTGAAAGTTAAAATTTGGTTGTTTCTGATTTGTGGAATCAGGTGATTTTCATCCATTGTGTCCACAGATTTCCCCCCTCCCTGCAAGGGTGGACAAGGCACTCGATGTAAACGAGCACATCGCTCCTTGCCTAAGTGCACCCCTGTGGTTTGGCTTGCGCTTCCTCAGACTCTTGTCCTGAGGCAAGGTGGGCACAGGGCAGCTCATCCTTACACTTCTCTGACAAAATTGTTGGGACCTTCTGTTTAGAGGGTGAGAAGTGGGAGTGTTTCTTTCCAAAATAAAAATGTCATTAAAATTGGAGTTCCTGTGACATTAAAGAAACATCTGTCTCAGCCCGCCAGCCTTCCTCCTTCCCACTGCCGAGCAGGTGCCACGGCGTCAAGAATGCTCACCTGCTTGTCTTGCAGAATTCCTGGCACATCTCTTTTTGCGTGCTGGTTACGAAGAAGTGGCGAATGAGTATGTGTTTCGTGAGACCGTGAATAAAAAAGAAGGCCTCTGCGTGCCGAGAGTTTTCCTTCAGAGCAAATTCCGCAAGTCTCCAAGACCTGACAACTATGACCCTGGGCCACCTCACAAGTTTTGACCTTTGTTGAGATTCCTTTGGAAGAGAAAGTTTGGAGTCACCATTTTTATAATTTACTTTTTAAAAAATGATACATATTTTTCTATGGAAAGTAGCAAGTATGCGTATGTATTATAGAAATACAAATAAAATGTCAAGGCCTGAAAAGTAAAGAACACTCTATGGCACCACATCATTACGCGTGCTGCCCACTTGGTGGCTGACAAAGGGGCGCGCAGGGCCGGTGGCACGTGGAGCGCCTGTCAGTACTCTTCTGGCTCTGTCTCCAGACCCCACGGCAGATAACCCAGTAGAGAATGGAGACTCGTAGATGAAAGTGACTCATACATATGTGTTTTTAGCTAGAAAGATTGTTCTGTTCTTTCTCCGTTGTCTCATATTCACCCATGTCTCTCCTTTTTAGTTCATGTATGTACCTCTTCTAGACTGTGTCCACAATTACTGCTTTTGCTGAGTCTCAAGAAGCCACTCTGTCTCCCAGCTCCACTTTGCCAGTCCCTGCGCTGGCAGAAAGAAGGGAGGCTACCACCTAGCCTCCAGGGAGACAGCAGATGGGCCGTCCCAGCACCCTGCAGGAAGGGAGGAAGCAGTGGTGAGGGAGGAATGACGAACAAGGCCAGAATCACATGGCTGCTGGCATGGTGGGATTTGGGGAAATCCTCACATTGGTCTGCTGGCCTGTTTCCCGGGCACTCCCAGGGTTCTTTTCATTTGCTCGCCAAGGTGAATCCTGTAAACCTTTTTGTTGCCCTTTCTGCAGGAAGCTGGTTATGAGGACATTTGTTTTGAGTACATTGGCTGCACAATCCCAGCCACATCAGGAGAGGCAGCAGCCGTGGGGAGGGCCTGGGTACTTGTACTAGCAGTTCTGGACAGTTAGAATAAAAGCCCTTGGCTGCTGGAGAAAAGAGGGCTGGAGTGGGATGGTGTGCTTGCTGGGGTCCTGGCTCTGACATCCGTCCTCGGCTTCTGGGAGCGAAGTGGGGCTGGAAAAGCAAGAGGAGCCCTATCTCTTGCTGGTCTGCTACTTTGTATAGTCTCTCCCCTTTGGAGCCTGGAAGACAGCTATGCTAGCCAAGAGGAAAACTGATGAGGAGTAATGCAGAGCTTGCCCATTGTAGTGTGTCCCCAACCACACCCCCAGTCAAGCAGTAAAGAAGATGTACTCCACAAAACGGGGAAATCCTGCTCCAGGCTCCCCAATGATGATTCAGGCCTTGCTCTTGAGGCCTGCTCCTCCAGAGCAGTCCTTACCATTTGCCAGTTCAGCCCTGGATGCTGCGGGGAGGCCTCCATGCAGTCTTTTCTCTTGTGTCCTCTTTTGGATCTGACTAGTATCACTTGGTCTTCAGTAACAGCTGGACGACAATAGGAGATTTAAGTAGAAAGTGGGGAGGTGTGTAGTAGGTGTGTGTGTGGGGGGGTTCTGGTTAGAGAAGTCAGTTGGAATTCATGTTTTGCCCCACTTGAACTTGGTTTTGGAATGGGGTGGATGTACTGAGAAGTCCCCCCTGGAGAGCTTGCTGAGTCTGAGGCAGGAATGGTACTAAAGAAAGCCAAAGCGGCTAAGGAGGGCCCTGCCCATAAAAAGGGCCTCTCTACCTTTGCAGCTGTGAGGCAGGCCAGGAGCAGTTGGCTCTGCAGGAGCATTATGGCCCTACTCTTATCCCACAGAGGAAAAGCTGCAGAAGCTTTCTCGGGGGGTTGGGGGGGGTTAAAGCTCGCCTAAAAACATGCCCACCAGGCCCTCCCTGGTGGCGCAGCAGGTCATTGCACAGCATTAAGAAGCTAAAGCCACTTGAGCATGAGTTCAATCCCCGCTCCAGAGGTGACCCACAGGGCGCGGCAGACCTCTCCTGACCTGCCTGCTGCTCCCTTCAGCAGTGTACTTTGTCGATCTGCCTGCCCTGCTTCCCACTCTTCTCTGGTGAATACTCTCACCGCATCTGCGTCTCTGGCCTGTACCCCAGTACAAATTATTTGTATAAACAAAGAAGTCTTTAAAGAAAAAAAAACATGCCCACCTCTGAGGCTGAGCACAGGAACTTCTCTGTGACTCCTTTAACATCAGTGGTTGTGAATGGACTGCTAGCTAAATGAGGTGATGTAGTCCAACATGGGTCCAAACAGTGAGTTGGTAAGAAACAGAAAATTAACAGGCAAAACCTAAATCTGGTCTGAAAACTCGGTTTTCGCCCCACTGCCTCAGTGGGGCCAGCGCACCCCAGATGAAAACATAGGAGCAGGATATCCTGCAGTTTGGGTGCCCAGGGACCCAGGGGGGCAAGCAGGAATAGGCCTAGTGGGTTTAGATACTATATAGTACTATCAATGTATGTATTACTTTCAACACAGTGAAAGTACAAACTATACGACAGGATGCAGAGCGTGAGCATCTGGATTGAGACCCAGGGCTTAGCCATACAAATCACTTGACTTAGCTCTGAGCCCAGTCTTCAGACCTCTAAAGCTAAGATTCTAGTGCCTACAGCACAAAGCTACTGCTGGGATGAAATGAGACCACTCAGGGAATGCCTTGTTTTAGTACGAAGCGCCTGGTAGGTGCTAGCCATGTATTCCCTGCAAAAATTACCTCCTGTGATAACTGTGAGATCCAAACTCCTGGGGCCTGCGATTTGGGTGGGACACCACAAGGTGGCACTAGATGCCAACTGCTCCCTTTGGCCTCCACTGTCTTAGTTCCAGGCTGTGCACTTTCAGTTGTATTTATAGAAGAGGAAGGAAAATACTTACAGATGTGTTTTTGAGCCTGGCTTTAGGTCAGTCTTGGCCTCACTGGGGATAAGAAAGCACTGGTGATTTTACCCAGCATTCTGTCCAATGTTGCCTGCTAACAGGCAACTGCTAAAGGCAGTTTTTCAGCTGAATTTGGGCAACATTCTTAGGCAATGTCTGTGGTAGGCTCCGAGGTGTCTGCCGGCCCCCTAGGCAAATTGGGCAGTATAAATATAGCCTGGCTACCAATCCAGGAACCTACGATTTTTTCCTGTGGGTAAATAAAATATCCCTGTGCACCTCCTCATCCTTCTGTCTCTGGATTCCTTCTTCCTGGTGCTTGAGATTAAGGCAAAGCAGAGAAGGGGCTGCAGCAGGGATACTTGTTTGCTTCACACATTTTTCATAGTTATATTTGACAGCATCTGGTTCCCTATTTCACAGTTGTCAACCAAAGAAGGAAAAATGGTGAAATAAATCATGTAGACCAGGCGTGTTTTTCAGGACCACGTATGCTGCTGAGGAGCAAATATTTAAACATCAGTGGGTTCTCCTACTAGAACCAAGTGTGCCAGCAAAAATAAAATCGGGTTTTTTTCACTTTTTTCTTTCTGCCCTTCTCCAATGTGTGGTACTTCATTAGCCAGTATTCAGGAGGCACAACTGGATACAGGACACTTGTGACTGGAGGACGGGGCCGGAGGAGATAGCTAGAAAACCAAGCACCAATCATGCGGAGCTTCAGAGGGAAGAAAACGAAGAAAGACAATGGAAAATTTGAGTGGGGCAACCGTCCCCATCATTTGGAAGGAATATAGCCATGTTTTTATAAGAGTCCTCAAAAGCTCTGTTCTGGGGTCCCCCCTGGAGATGAGAACTAGAGGCAAAGGTCCTGTGGTGTATCTTTTCAAGCTCATCGAGAACAATCAGCAATATCAAGACTAGTGAAATGACACAATTCCCAGAAAAAATTCCCATGCTAAGAAAATGGTCAACTCCATTTAGGAATACTTGTAAATGAAGTCAAGGCTCGCCTTATAAAATGAAGAAAGCTTAAAAAATGAGAAAACTCACTGCTGGTTAAAGAGCAGACTCCTATGGAGGTGCATAACGTGGCTTCCCTAGAACCACTCTCCCACTAAGAGTTTCTGAAATGATGGAGATTCTCTGTGTGCATTGTCCACTGTGATAGCTCTGGTCATGTGGTGACTATGAACGATGACTGGTGGCCAGTGCAACAGAGAACTGATTTGAACTTGCATTTAAATTTAAGTGTAACTAGCCACCGTCAGTCAGTGGCTACCGTAATGGGCAGTGCAGGTCTAGAGCACAGGGAGGTAGCAAACTATATAAATCTGTCATTTCTAATCCAGTAACTCCATGTTTAGGAACCCAATTTAAGAAAATAATCAGAAGTGTTTATAAAAAAAATTTCCTAAGGCCCACCTTGGTGGCACAGTGGGTTATAGCACAGCAGACCTCTCCTGACCCGTCCACTGCTCCCCTCAGCAGTGTACTTTGTCAAACTGCCTTTTCTGCTCCCCACTCTGGTGAGTCCTCTCACCCCCACACCTCTACCCTGTACCTCTGTTCTTGTATGCATAAATAATTCTTAAAAATTTCCTCATAGTGCTATATGGAACAATGAAATGGTAACATCCAGAAATATGGGATTGGTTATATAAAGCATAGTCTAAATAAGAAGATGTAGTTATTAAAACTTGTTTTTGAAAACAAATATAAAATGCCCAGTAAATAATGTAATATAAGCAGGAATATAAAACTACAGAAGACTAGTTTTAATTATGTGTAATAATAAAGGGTAGGTAGTTGATATTTTAAAAACACACACACCCAGGAAGGACTGCTTATAGTATTTGAGTTCAGGTTTCAAGCTAATACTTTTCCCCTTTATACTTTTCTGAAATTTCCACAAGCATAGATGGCTTTTGTCCTTAGAGGGGGAAAAAAAAAAAGATCGTAGCATCCTCAGACTGCCTTCCCAAAATGCATAAGTTAAAATAGCAAAAACATAAAACCTCATTGGTTAAATGAATTAAAATCTTGTGACAAATCCAGAAATGCCATCTTACCCCAGGACCAGAGGATGTCCCCCAGGAAGAAGAAAGGGTGCGTTAGAACATTTTCTTGTTCCCTGTGCTCTGGAATCATGGTAAGACTTTTTTCCATCTTTTGTTGGTTTTTGTTTTTCATACACTGAGGTGTTTTCTTGGTAGTATTTTCATCTTTTGGGCTGTGCATTGTCATTACTGCTATAAATTTGGAAAACATATCCTTGAGTTTGAGGAGATTTACCCAAATTATTTAATTCGCCAGTACTACCAACGCACACACACTATAATTTTACAATCTCTTTCTCTTCTGTCTTTTAGTATT